ACTGAAGAAGAGCTACGGCGACATTTAATTGTATCATTGCGGTCCAATGTGGACCCGGGTCTATTGCGGTCTATGCTTCAGTCATTACTGAAGAAGAGCTATCATTACATCTAATTGTATCATTGCGGTCAAATGTTGACTCCATATGCATCTCTAACTACGATAACTAAATGTGTGCCCCTCCTTTGTACATTTCAAGTACATGAATACATCCTTAGGGTAACTTACTATACCCCAACGGGTGCGCAAAGGGTGTTTCTACCTTGCACTGGAGATCTCAAAACATTTTATGCACACTAAAGGCCAGTTTATTTCACAGGCAAACGTGAAACTGAAGTGAGTTTGACGTCACGAAATAATTGCAGTGTAGTTTTGCTCGAGTTGAAATATGTTCAACTTCTGCGAATTCGCAGGGCGAATATTTTGATTTGACATCACAAATCCGGAATTGTATTCGCTTTCACATGAAGTAGCGGCCGTTCATCATTGGCGCGAAAGCGAATTCAAACGCGAAATTATTATCATTCGTCACTTTTTTTTTCTGGCAGACATTTAGGACTAACGTCGGCTCTTCTGGACCTCCCGTGACACACTTGTTTCCCAGTCCCGTAAAAGCACGTTATATCCGCATCAGACCAACAGAGTATAATCTGTTGCCAGCGATAAGAATGGAGCTCATTGGTTGCCAAGTACTAGGTGGGTATCAAGTTGATTTCATAGACTAACAGGAATTTGAAAAAAAAAACAAGACTTTTCACGTACACACGGGAAATACTGAAGTGAAACATAGGAACAACAGTAGTGGATGCCAAAGTAATTTACCATACAGTGAAAAAATTGAATTTGATTAACAAACATAATGACAACTCTAATCGTTTGATCGTGCATTCGAAGAGCCACAGGCCGTACTCATCAGGCCAAATATGTTCAGGGTTGAGCTACTCGTTGTGTCTTGGTTTTGTGGTATTTCGTTTGTCAGGGATTTCCAGTCCTGTTAGAAATTAACACTAAAGGGTGGGCTTTTTCGCATATGCATCCCCCTTTTTGTTTTTGTACATTTCTTTTTGCCTTTTCACAACCTACGTTTAGTTCACTTCGGAGGTATGTTTAAGGTGCACTTTAAACTCGAAACGTTTAATGAAAAAGGAAAATATTAACACTGTTCCTGTTATTTTGGATGAATGTACACAGACTGCCCAAGCAACATTACTCAATTTGCTGAAATCAGCAGCACAGCAGTTCCCGTGTCTTGGGAGGAGCCACCTACAGCCGATTCGTTGCCTTGGAATGCCACCCATCGCCCTGGTGACTTGTTCCCCGTAGGAAGCGTCACTGAAGTCGCTTACACTGCTCAAAACGATGAAGAAGGAAGTTTCATTTCTTGCAGCTTCACTGTGGCTGTGACAGGTCAGTAAACCTCCATCAAAATCACTATATACAAGATTTCTTACTCTGCAAGAACTAGCCAGCTGTACAGCAGAAACAGTTGACGTGCAAGAAAGGCGTATGTCCAATGTCAAACTTAATGTTTCTTTTTTTCCCACTCTTTTAGTATATGAAAGGGTCTTGAAATTCTACACACATTAAAAATCACTAAGTACATCGAACAGAGGCAGTCTTGCAAAACGAAAATTAAAATGTGATACAAAACTCAACCCATTTGCTCAAATTTCACCACAAAGCCCTTCACAAAGACAACACAATAACGAACTACGTTGCTGCGATTAATATGTTCGTTGTCTGGTTAAATAACAGAAGATTGAACTTGAATAAACACAATTTCTAGTGCACTCTTCCAATATTTGACGTATTTGATGTACTCCTTAGGGGTTGACATCACGTGTCCGGGAAATGTCTCTGTCTCCACAAATGTCAACAACTTTGCCAATGTCTCGTGGCCTCTGCCAAGGCTCAGATTCAGTGGCGTCAATCCAGATGTCAGAGTCATAAGCAATTACGAGCCTGGACAGGGCTTCACCATCGGGACGACGCTCGTCACGTACAGGATTCCAGAAACAAAGGCTGAATGTCAGTTTTATGTGAGCGTATTAGGTAAGAATCGAAGTGGCATAGTTCATGGGTGCATGGTGTATGTAGAGTCAGCTTTTTGGGGGTGTAACGTATGTATGTGTTATCTTTACTATTTCAGATAATCAGCCTCCCGTCATAAGAGACTGTCCTGATGACGTAATTGTCCCCGTCAACTCGTCATCCGGCCAACTGTCCGTCAGTTGGAGTCCTCCTTCGATCTCTGACAACTCTGGCCGTGACATACAGCTAACATTTAAGTGCAGAGCAACCACACCAACTGAATGCAACGAAGCTGGAGAGGGAACCTTCTCGGTCGGCATTACCACAGTGATCTATAAAGCTCAAGACCAGAGTGGTATAGAGAGTGTTTGCCAATTCACTGTTAATGTAACAGGTTGGTATAAGCAAAACCTTGAAAGTGGTGTTCTTTGCACCGATACTTAAGACGGTGACAGCAGCTTCAGTGTTTGTCCTTAAACTGAACAATTTTTTTCCAAGAATTTGCATCAAGGGTTCTCTTCCTCTCTGACTTATAGTTGTGAATCTTGCCTGCCCGCAAAATGTGACAGTAACACCCAATCCTGGGTCTTCAAGAGCGAGCGTAAGCTGGCCAGAACCGATACTAACTGGATGGGATGGACCAACGAATGTCGCCTCGAATTTCAACCCCGGTGATATGTTCTCAATAGGGGCTGAGAAAGTTGTCTATCGGCACAGATTTGAGGCATTTAGCTTCGAATGTTCTTTCTTTGTGCAGGTTTTAGGTGAGTTGAGCAGCTTGAGAAGCTGAGTGAAGAATTCTGATAACGTGACGCCATGATGTGTATACTTTACGCGTCTGTGATTAATCTTGCTAAAAAAGGGCAGAAACAAGAGTTATAACATGTACTTTGTTTTCAACGCAATTGGAAGGGATTTAGCCATTTCCCCATAAGGCCAATAAATTGTCAACGAATATCTTTACCCATTGTTTCAATTAAATCGCTGCAATCCATTTGAGACAAACTTCACTCTGATTGTAGAAGCAATTTCCCAAACAAACTGTTCCAGATAATGAACCTCCGGAGATCAATGGCTGCCCTGATGATGTCATCATTCCTGTTGGCTCATCGTCCAGTCGGGTGCCTCATGTGTGGACACCTCCTTTGATCACTGATCAAGGAGAAGTCAATGTGTCGTTCAGTTGCCAGGCACTAGCTCCCACTGAGTGTTACCAGGCTGGTGATGGAATTTTCTCCGAAGGCATTACCATAGTGATGTACAAAGCTCAGGACCAGTCAGGCAATGAAAACGTTTGTAGATTCGTTATCGAGGTTACTGGTAGGTGACAATACTTCCCTGTTTTAAAATTGAAAGATTTGCTTGCAAGCTCATGTGTGAATAAAATATAGTTCACATGTCGGCATAAATTTACGAAATGGATATATCAGCTCTGTGGTCGCTCCTAAGATTTATTTTCATGTTTTCTTTAGTCGTGAATCTTGTCTGTCCAGCAAACGTGACAGCCTTTGCCAATCCTGGTTCGACAAGAACCAGTGTGAACTGGATGGAACCAGACCTTATTGGATGGAACAGACCAACAAATCTCACCTCCAGTGCCAACCCTGGCGCTGTATTTATGATAGGAACTCATAGGGTTTCCTATCAGCAGTGGTTTGGAGAGTACAACTTGCGTCTCGGTTGTTCTTTCTTTATTGTGGTAGTTGGTAAGTAAATTGATTTATTTTGGCTTTTAAATTTGTATAAAATGAACAATGACCTTTTTCAAGTTTACTAAAGTCATAAAATACCAATATCGATAATAGTTGTCATAATATGATTTTTTGTACATTGAAATAATTGTCATTAACCTGTTAGTATCAAAACATATTTACGCATTTGCAAGCAATCATAAACATATTAAATCGTTGTATTTACTTTAGATAACCAACCTCCAGTCATCACAAGCTGTCCTAATGACATAATTGTCCCCGTCAACTCGTCATCCAGTCAGCAATCCGTCAGTTGGTTTCCTCCCTCGATCTCTGACAACTCTGGCCGTGACATAGAGGTGACACTGGATTGCCTGGCAACCGCACCCACTGAATGTAACGAAGCTGGAGAGGGAACCTTCTCGGTTGGGAATACCACGGTGATCTATAAAGCTCAAGACCAGAGTGGCACGGAGAGCATTTGCCAGTTCACTGTTATTGTAAAAGGTTCGTCTAAAAACCTTCGTTGTGCTGTTCCTTGCAACGATGCTTAAGAAGGTTACAGGAGCGTCAGTGTTTGTCCTTACACCAAGCTAAATTCATTGAAATATTTGCATCAAGGGAACTAATAAAACATACCCTTCTTGTTTGGCTTAGTTGCAAATTTTGTCTGCCCACCAAATGTGACAGTCACGCTCAACCCTGGGTCTTCAAGAACGAGTGCAAGCTGGCCACAACCGGTACTAGCTGGATGGGATGGACCAACGAATGTCACGTCAAATTTCAAGCCCGGCGATATGTTCACGATAGGGACTGAGAAAGTTGACTATCGGAGCAGTTTCGAGTTGTATAACTTCCAGTGTTCTTTCTTTGTGCATGTTTTAGGTAGGTTGTGCAGTTAATTTGAGAAACTATCTGAACAGATCTGATAAGGTGACCTCATTATCTGTACGCATAACAAGTGTCTGTGATTAACCTTGTAAAATATCGCAAAAATACGATTAATAATAATGGGGCCTTCGTAATCAACGTATTTGGAAAGGATTTAGCAAGGTCTGTATAAAGCCAACAAATTGTCAATGAAACTACGGCCATTTCATTGCCATCATCCAATACGGGCGTTTCACAGTAGTGCTACTCCAAGCGTTTGCAAGGCGTTGGCCAATCAAAAACTGCGAAATCTGTCGACCTAATGTGTGTTTGGAACTGGGTCGACAGATTTCGTGCGTTGTGGTTGTATAACGCGTTGCAAACTCTTGGAGGTGCACTATTGTGAATCTCCCGTGTTGAGACAAACTTCATTTTATTAATGGAAGCAATTTCCCAAACAAACTGTGCCAGATATTGAACCTCCGGAGATCATTAGCTGCCCCGATGACGTCATCATCCCTGTCGGTTCATCGTCCAGTTGGGTGCCTCATGTGTGGACACCTCCTTTGATCACTGATCAAGGAGAAGTCAATGTGTTGTTCATATGCCAAGCACTAGCTCCCATTGAGTGTAACCAGGCTGGTAGTGGAACTTTCTCTGAAGGCGTTAACACAGTGATGTACAAAGCTCAGGACCAGTCAGGGAACGAAAATGTCTGTAGATTTGTCATTCAAGTCACTGGTAGGTTGACGTATTTCGATGTTTTGAAATTCTTTCATTTGCTTGTATAGTTCATGTGTTAGTTCAACAAATATGTCAGGTTTCAGATACAAATACAGATACATGTAGGTTCAACAAATATGTCAGATACAAATACAGATACATGCTAGAAGGTCTCTCAACAGATCAATTTTCTTGTTTTGTGTAGTTGTGGATCTTGTCTGCCCAGAAAACATGACGGCCTTAGCTAATCCTGGTTCGAAAAGAAGCAGTGTGAACTGGATGGAACCGGACCTGACTGGATGGAACGGACCAACAAATCTCACCTCCAGTGCCAACCCCGGCTCTGTATTTATGATAGGAACTCATAGGGTTTCCTATCAGCAATGGTTTGCTGCGTACGAGTTGGGTCTTGACTGTTCTTTCTCTGTTATGGTAGTGGGTAAGTAGATTGGTCCAGTTTATTTTTTGGAGGAAATGCACATTGTTTATGTAAAGTTTTGAAATGACCTGAAGTGTTTTCCTTATGATATTTAAATCATTGTAACGTAGGCTTATTCATGTTTAACACGTTGGGATCCCTCGCATCCTAAGACTTCACGACCCGGAAAATAAATTCGAATGACTCCAGTTTGCCTTTATTTGAACATTAACTTTTATTAATATTAATGTTTCCTGCTGTTTGTAGGTCGTTGCCCATCCAACAGCACCAGTGACGGTCTAAGATGGCCCGCAGTGACAGCAGGATCAACAGCAAAGTCTGTCCAACGGTGCGCGTTGACGACAGCCAAAGGTAAGACTCGAGTCGTTCTAAAATCCTGCCATGTCTCACTGCCTCCGTAGAGAAAGCAACCCGCTTATTTGTACTACCCAGCTTGTCCATTTCATCTACCACATATTATGAATCCATGTCGGAATTATAAGTTGTTTGATTACTGGTGAATGTATAAAGGAAATTCCACGTGGTCACTTGCGCTTGGCTGGAGACTGGCCCTTTGAATCAAGTTACTTAATTTTGTCTGGTGGTAAAAACCTTCTTAATCGTAGAATTTTTTCAGAATGTGCAGAAATCCAACAACTTAGGCCTCCTCTTAGTTTGACCACCTATATTTACTGTCATTGGATTCAGGGGAAGTTTTTTCCTGCGATGTGGCATGAAATCATTCTCATATTTGTACCTAAGTAGTCTTCCTGCGCGACTTCACTCCTTAACAGCTGGGCAACCCCTCGCAGTCAGGAACTGCTCAATCGAGAACCCGCCGATCTTCTTCCAGTGGGAAGAGCCGGAACCTCGCAGCTGCGGTGAAGCTAAGAACGAGGTCTCCCTCGATAATGTTGCCAGGGTAATGTAACCAGGGACTACATTGAATATTTTTTGTCCGGGGAAGACTTGTGGTGTGTAGTCTGGAAACAAATTTCATGATGTCTGACAACAAAATCTGATATAATCTTGTTATTTTCCCTTATTGAAGAATAAAAGAGTTATATCCTGTCGTAGACACTCTATAATTCGTGACGGAGTAATTCGCTTTTCAGTAAATCTTTAACATAATGAGATGCGTGTGATGTTCCGAAACTGCGCAAAACGATTGGCTCAGTCCTTGTTTGAATTCAAAGTTCCATAAAAATTATGGAAATGTTTTACACTCGGCGGACAAAATGGCATTTTAGTGGAAATGCTCTGGAAAACAAATAGATATTTAAATAAAGGTTTGATGTGTAACATTGTGAAACTTGCCTGACAGGTAGACGTAAGTGAAGGCAACGTGGTTGAAGTGGCCGAGTTTCTGGCAAATCAGACATCAGAGTCAACTAAGGATGCCGAAAACGTGGGAGCGGTTTCCGCCATTTTGGTGAACGTCGTTAGCACAAGATCAGGGAATAAAGAGGTAAGTTAGAGGGACTTGTTATACAAAGCAGACCCTTCGGGATATTGGTAAGGATGTAGGATGAGATAATATGACATCGTTCTTTTTGAAGGTGGCAGAATTAGTGGTGCAGACGGTGAGCAATGTCATTAAAAGTACCGAGACCACAGCCGACTCAAAGACCCCTGATATCAATGCTGGAAACTCCTCTGCCATCATCCGGTCCGTAGAGGCTCAAGTCTCCTTGACCCTGAGAAAAGAAGGAAAGGTCAGTATACGGCAAGACAAGGTCCACGTGGAGGCGGTCAGTCTGGACCCCGAGAAGGCTAGCGGCGGATTCAGCTTTGTGTCCGCAAGGCAGGCCGGACAAGAGCTGCCACGAGATGGTTCACTCGGCGGTGCTGAAGTGAATACGTTTTTCGATACTAAAGACATCCCGGCTGATATCGAGGTGGTGGCATCAGTTAGATTACCAGGAAATATAGCCGACTCAATATACCCATCTGATGGTAAGTACAGAATTTGTTGATTCATTTCTTCTTTGTTGAAACAAAACATCCTTCTCCGTGTATGCATTTGTCATCACGTATTGAAAGGCCTTTCCTAGTGAAGATATTTTTAATCAGTACTGTCTCTATAGCGTGTACGACTAACTTATGTCGTTCACAAATTCATTGGTATTTAGGGAACAACTCTGTACAGCTGCAGGCCAGTTTCCTGATCTACGCAGATGACACCTTGTTCCAGTCTGCTTCACTCAGAAAGTACCGAGGAGAGAATAACTCGACTCGTAAGGTCGCTGGATCCGTCGTCTCGCTGACTGTGGAAAATGTTGAACTTGTGAACCTCACTGAGCCACTTGTCATTGAATTCAAGGTACTACACAGTCCGAAAACATGTACGGTGTATAGTAAATTTGTTAGTCAGTACCTAACCAAACTCGTGACCGGCAGGGCCTAAACCAAGTAGCGAGGCTTTCAACAGCAAATTGTCTGGTCCCTTTATTCTACATTTCAGACTCCCAATAATGTAACGGATGAAGAGTTGCAGACGATCCAGTGTGTCTCCTGGGATTTTAATCTCGAGGATGGAGTTGGTGATTGGTCACCAGCTGGCTGCGAGCGAGCAGGATTAACGGCTGACAAAATGTCTTGTGATTGTTACCACGCCACCAACTTTGCCGTCCTTTTGGTATGCTTGTTACAAGAGAGAATCTTTTGTCCTTAGCAGAGATTTCCCAAGTCCTCTCAGAAAGTACTTGTCAGGCCATCGCAAGCCCTCGTAGACTCCTGCAAGTTCGTCTGACCCACAAGCAAGTCACCCAAATTAAGTCACGTCACAAGCTTTTCAAATAAAATGTGACATATTGTTTTCACAAAAAGGACAATACTGTTACTTTATCAGTTCACTTTATAAAACTTTGATTTGCATCTTCCTTAGGACGTCAAGGGCCAGGTACCGGAAGATACCCCTGAGAAGAAAGCACTTGATGTCATCAGTCAGGTCGGCTGTGCCTTGTCGATCGTAGCTCTGGCTGTCACGTTAATAATTTATCTGTCGATTAGGTGAGACTTAATTGAAATATTCCTCAAGACGAGCAATCGTCTTCTTTGCTACATGCAGTATACTATGATCTCAGTCTACATGTACATACAAAAAAATACACCGTTGGATGAAGTTAAATCACCGACAGTACACGCTTTCCCTTGTTTTCGACTTCATACATTAAGAGGCTACGCAAATCAATTTATTTCACTTGTAGTTAACTTATAGTTTCAGTGCCTACCTAATTCATATATGTGCTCTATTCCTGTGGTTTGAAAGATAATGTTATCTTGTTTAAATATAATCATGGTTTAAAAACAGTATCCTGTTTGATTTCAATGGGTAAACGGCAAGACTTGTGTTTTTTCAGGAAGCTGCGAAGTGGCATATCTCGCCAGATCTTCATCCATTTCTGCTTCTCCCTCCTGATGTTGTACATCGTGTTTCTCGCTGGTATAGACAACGCAAAGGTTAGGTTATTATCATTTACCGAAAATGGGTCACTTGGGAGACATTCCCATAGGAATGTGCACAAATTTTTTCGAATTCCCTAATCCTATCTTAACCAAACTTTGCATGTTTTTCTTTCAGACCCTTATAAATCATCACTCAAAATGTGAATAGTAAAAATTTTCCTCCTTTTGGTAGTTGGAGCATTAGGGAGATATTGAAATGTCTCCCTAATGACCGATGTCTCCCTAATGTTAAAAAAATTTACCACAAAATGTCTCCCAAGTGACTCATTGGAAATATTTTAGTAACTATAGCTACGCCTATAGCTATAGTCGCTACAGCTATCTGTTAATGATGGCTATCAGCCTATACCAGCATGGTATTAAGCAGTTCGATATATATTGAGCTAGTAGTGATACTAGTTTCATCTTTTGGATATTTTCAAAATAGGGCTCTGGAGGTGGTTGTGTGTTTGTGGCTGCTTTACTCCACTACTTGACTCTATCCACTATGATGTGGATGGCTGTTGAAGCCAGGAACATGTACATCAGTACGGTGAAGGTGTTCCCAGAAGACAGGCCTCGGTACATGCTCAAGGCTTGCCTCATTGCTTGGGGTGAGTTTCTTTTCTACTTTTTCCCCAGGGTATAAAATCATTCAAGTTCAGTGCAGCTGACAAACCAAGAAAATGTTTTTCCTTTTCTCTTTTTAGGATCTTCACTGATTGTACTGACAATAACCTTAGCAGCAGGTACAAACCACTACAAGAACGACCATTAGTAAGTCTTGCGTCTTTTCAATATACTGAATCATGCTTAACTCTACTGATGAATGCTATGTGCGATTGACAACGCGTTTCCCACACAAGGCAGCTTTGAGTCCATAAATCTGTTTTTCTTTATGAATTTCTACAGCTGTTTCCTGCGACCTGGTCTTGTGCTGTACATTGGTCTCCTTACTCCCATCGGTCTCATCCTCATCCATAACATCATCACCTTCGTCTTGGTCATGCGTAGTCTCCTGAAGGTCAAAGAGGTATCACGCTCCCAGCAGATCTCCAAACGCCTCCAGAACGCCGTGGGTATCTCCGCCCTCATGGGGTTGACCTGGTGTTTTGGGTTCCTGGCCATTGAAGGAGCAACTTTTATCTTTCAGCTCATCTTCTGTCTTGCCAACTCCTTACAGGTAAATGATCCTAGTCTTCAACAGTAATTTTTTAATTCACAAGCAAAGGACAATGTCAGTAAACTTTAAATACTTTGGTCGCTTTATAAGTCTCTTGTTGTGTCAAGCGTGACTCGTTAGTCCATAAAAAGAAAAGAAAGAAACTGAAACAAAACGAGCAGCTCCATTATTTCTCCTCTCAGCCAAACATTAGCCGTAATTGTTCAAATTTGTAAGATTTCTTTTTTCCCTTTCTTATCTTATCTGTGCTGCAAGAACTGCGCTGGAATTCTTGACATCGTTAACAGTAGGGCTAGGCATAAGTGAAATTAGGTTGATAAAAGTTTGGGAAGATGTGTCATCCACGTGGTCGTAAATAGTCTTCATCAGAGGGATTTTCTGCCATTGCAGGGCGTGGTTGTCTTCATCATGTTCTGCGCCCGACGTGAAGAGGTTCGCTTGGCCCTTACCCCCTACGTGAGACGTATCTGCTGCGGGCGGGAGTGCCGTCTGCCGGCATTGCATCCTGTCAAGTCTAAAGATGTTGAAATGATCTCCACCACGGCACCAACTGTACATTCTACTGGACAGACTGGACAGTTCGACTTGTCAATCTCCATACCGAATGCGCCCTTTGAGAGCGACTCATAAGCGGAAAGAACGTTTACATAGATCCACGGTGCATAACAACATCATAAGTTTAAGCTCATGAAAATGTAAGCGCAGGGTTTTTTGTCTGAAAATTGAAAACCTGGAAAACTCTTCCTAAAGTTTGCAAGCTCCAAAATTCAATCCGTACAGGGCAAAAAGCACAGTGGTTAAATTAATTGAAAATATTCCTGAAACGCGACTAGACACAAGGCTAAGTAGCATTCTTACGGATACTGTTCGGATTTAATTGATATCAGTAAATAAAGAATTAAGAATATTACAAAAGAATGGGCTTTCTTGGTTAAAAATGAAATGCTACGTTTACAGAATAACTAAATAATAGAATCAGTTATTTCACATAATTAAAAAACAACTCCTGGCTTGCAGTATTGAAATCGTAAAGCGCCATTTAATTTTTGTATTTAAGGTTTTAAAATCACTTTGAGCATAGCCTATAGGCCTAATATTATTAGCAGTAAAAGGGGTTTACAGAATTCCTACACACACTTTAGTTTTGTGTCGACTCGTATACACACTGAATCATTTCCACATACCGTTAGGTAGAATATGAATTGAAACAGGTCGATGAAAAGCGACCTTGAGTGGAAAAACGACTCATTTTCCGCTATCTGGTTCGCGAAATGTATTGCAATACGCAGATGCAGTGTCCTAATATCCTGGACTTCTATCCAATTTCCCCATTTTTCTGGATAAGGTTACTTTAAAGTTATAAAGACTAGTCAAAAATTCAGTACAAGTCTTAGTTCCAGTCGAAACCAGAGAAACATTCTAGTATTGTGATATTGAGTTTCAATGGGTGTAGAGCGTTTAAATGTTTAAGGTAAAAATGTGCAGGATGTCTACTGGCTATATAATGAATTGATACTGAAATCAGACTTGCCAAAACCTCAAGTTTGACCTCCATCATTAATTGATAATAACTTCAGAGCTCAACTTCCGTAGCATATTTATTCTGATTGTGGTCCCTTAGGTGGGAATGCTCATGGAAAATTACTGGAAACTTTTATGGCATTTTCCCACAACCTGAAGAGTAGTTCTTTATTGAGTCAGGAAACACAGTATGTACCTTTAGACTCAACAAAGAACTAGTGCCTAATGCTTTTAAGTGTTTAACAGTGGAGGCAGCTGCAGTGAACTATACTTCATTATTCAGGATAACGTTTGGCTCGACCTATTCCAGGACCCCAAAATAAATCGATTTTTTTTTCAAAGTGCAACTCTTTATCGGTGAAGTTTGTGAACAAGCTTTCTATTTTTGGCACAAGGAAGTAACATCCATCCAACATCGGTATAGGCCTACACATTACAGTTGATGACTAGTGGGTTGGTGTTTCGTACGGGTATGTGGAACGATTGCAACCCTAGACAACCACGATGGACACGAATGTCAAACCAGGTCGACGTTTGGCCATAATCGTTATTTTGACTTCCAGCGTTGCATTTTGTGTATTTCCGGTCAACGCCTCACGCGAGGGTATGTAATTATGTAATCGGTTAAACAAAATTCATTACTGTGTTATAACGCTAATAGTTTAATAAAATTAACAAAACTGACTGAGAGACCAACCGTGTGAAAAGTTTGATATTCTTTCATGCAAAATGTTTTATAGGATTTTATCTCATCTTGATCTTTTTCTTATATATTAACAAGCGACCAAACTCATTCACTGTTGACACAAACAGAAAGATGAGAGATAGTGTACTTCTCGGTTCTTAGAACTTTTCAAGACGAAATCATATCTTTAACCAGAAACGATCTCGTGCAGGCGGCCTGATCGGTGTACATGTATATGTTCGTCAGGGAACCAGTGTCCCAATCATGGCGGAAGCATACGTTGCCATTATTCCAACCTATAAAGGGACGGTTGTTTGTACCATGTAAGTACTATACAGTAGCTGCTCCCAGTGAATATTGTCACGCCCCCACATAAGCCCCTGACTCATAACCTTGCTGCGTATACGTGCGTTGTAGCATTTCCAGGTATGTGCTCCGATGGCTGGCTAGCCCTCGGTGTCAATGGGTCCTACAATTGCTACAAGTTTTTCAACTTCTCGCGATGGAACGATCGACTCAACTGGACTAACGCCGAGGAGGCGTGCCAGTTGGAGGGAGGTCATCTTGTCAGCGTTCACAGTCGACAAGAACAAGACTTTCTTAATGGTTAGTTTGGTCTGTAGCTTTTGAAATCCGGTCTTGAAATTCCTTTGCCCTCACTGCAGATGATAAATATCACATAAAATCGTCCAGACTTTAGGGAAAAGTTTACTTCACGCAGCATAAGTGATAATACCAGACTAAAATATTCTAACTGTTGTCTGGACGTAGAAACCATTAGCAAGCACAGTGAATGGTACCAGTGGTGGTTGGGTTTGAGTGATACGGATCAGGAGGGAACCTTTGTTTGGAGCGATGGAACCGAAACAGTAAGTTCAATGACTTTTAGTTTAGTCTTTTTGGTGCCGTATGTTTTGCGCAATATTGACGAAGGAAAGCGAGAGGGGAAAAAAATGGAAATTCGTTTCAGCACAGGAAGGAATAGACGATAAATTCTGGCAAATTATTGTATGTGGAGTGGGTGACGTCGATCTTGAGTTACTTCTGCCTGAGAAACTATTCCTCTTTTAACCATGTACGCCGGTATTCAACCAGAAGCCTTTAATTCAGTTTTGCTCCCTTGGCTGATGATAAAGGAATACAGTTGGTCTGAATTGGTCTGAATCGCGTTACTTGGCATGAAGAGATGGGCAGCTAGTATGTGTGTAATGTCTTAAACCCAAACGAAGCGTAAAAATCCCTTCCAAGTAACTGTTGTCATTCTTTTTCTTCAAAGAGATAAAACAGAATCTCGCAAAGCTGGATCAGTTACTGGTATGAACTTAAATTTTAATCAACCACAGATCGGCAGAGAATAACAATTTGGTTAAATCGTGCGACGGCCTGTAAAAATAATCCAAGGGAACACCTCTGTCATGCACAACGTTGTTTGTATTTAAGATGGATTTTCAGGTGCTTTCAATTCCATACCAGCATGTATTCTGACAGTCTTAGAGAAGAGAATTTACCTTAATTTCAATTTATATCGTTGTTGCAGGATGTACTTTTCTGGCATACGAGACAACCGGATGGGGGAAGACACGAAAACTGCGTCCAAATGCTGACGGTATATCATCAGGACGAATGGAATGATAGGCCATGCAGTCAGCGCATGAACTATATTTGCAAGCGAGGTGGGCCGGCGCGCGTTGATTTTAACATTCTGTCGTTTTGCACTACGGGCGATTCGCAATAGCGCGCCACCAAGAATTTGCAGCACGTTGGCCAATCATAACGCGCGAAATTTGTTGACCCTTTCCAAACACGCATTGGGTCGACAAATCTTGGGCACTGTGATTGGCCAACGCGTTGCAAACTCTTGGTAGCGCACTATTATGAAACGGCCGTATTGACAATCATGGTCCAGATAAATGCGTACAGTCCTTAGAGGCCCATTAAGAGTATCACTAGTATAGGCTCTAGAAAACCTCTTGTTCGCTTGTTGTTACTAAAATAATGGAAATAGCCTTTGAGACACCATAGAGCCGCCCGTAAGTCATGATCTCTACTGATGTTTAATTGTCCATGCTGATAAGCTGTACAATATTCAATGGGTCCCGAGTTGTCAGAACAATTGCATATAGAGTCTACCTACAGCGGTGCTTGGCATTTGGATAATTTGAGTTGAGCACATTTCCCAAATGAACGTTGGCGCTATTCACATTCTGATAAATCATTCAATGTTCACCTTATTGTGTTCTCTTTCAGCTGTTTGTCCAAACGGTTGGCGAAATAATGGAGCAATGTGTTATAATTTTGTCGCTTTTGGTCCCTTAAACTGGACCTTGTCGGAAGCGGCATGCAAGAGAGAGGGCGCCCATCTTGTGAGCATTCACAGCCAACAAGAACAAAACTTTATCTACCGTAAGTTTGCCTGTGAGGAGGGGGCTTTGTCACGTGAAGTCAGTTCGGAAATAGGATCGAACCCATTAAACATAGCTATGTTTATGTTTTGCACATTTCTCTTGAATTCGCTTCATCTTCTGCTTAGAGGAAGTTCTTATTCTTCTATTGTTGCTTAAATCACTGAAACTTTGGATTTTAACTAGTCATTTCTTTTACCCTCCGAGCAGACTCCACCCCCTAAAACATACGCTTCCTCCATGTGGTGATTGTAGTCCCCAGATCAGTTCCCGGTAATGCCTGAACCTAAACGACTGTTTTATGGTAGCTAATACATTTCATTATTCTGCTTTGGAAGTATAAGTAACAGCAGGTCACAACCCAAACAGCCACCAAGTTAGCACTTGTATGTCAACAAAGAGATCCAGTTCAGGACCATTTGGGGTTGTTACACCCCAACTATAGCATCAGTCCCAACTATAGTTGGGCCCGTCCCAACTATAGTTGGGCCCGTCCCAACTAGAGTGCTACAGTTGGGCCGGCCCAACTACAGCAGATGGTTCCTTTGTGCATGTGTCCAGCATGTACCAAAGTCATATCATTTACAAATGTCATGTCATTGGTCATAGTTCTAAGTAAAGTGCCACATTTTAGATGAATTGTGTCAAGTATGAGACATAATGACTTGGATAATGTTGAAACATTTCCCACAGACATTGGTCAACAATAGTTGGGCCAGCCCAACTGCAGTACTACAGTTGGGACTGTCCCAACTCTAGTTGGGACTGATGCTGTAGTTGGGGCGTAACACAGTCCTCAGGGTGACTGATCTTTCAAAGATTTTAACTCGGCAGCGGTTGGGGTCTAGCCAATGGGAGTTTACATGCCTTTGGTGTATGCCTGGAGTGCGGTTTACAAACTATCTTTGTCTGGTTGGCCCATTGAAAAAAATTATGACCATATTTGGTGATATCTGTCGATCTCAATCCGCGCACCTTTGACACCAGGGCTTAAGGTTATCTGCGATCAATTTGTTTTCACACACTTTCAAAATGCACATTTATGTCTCAGTCATCATTATTTTCAGCTTTTGTTTCGCTATTTCCAAGGGTATTTTACTGCCTGTTTGGTTTCTACGCAAATGAATATTCGATATTCATGAGCAAAACTATGATGTCATCCTGGGGAAGAAAGCGTCGGTGTTACACCGGTCTGCACACAAAAACACCTGCATTTATGTTTATTTTCCTGAGACTAATTTTATCGTTGCTGATTCGTTGTTGTTAATAAGCATCGCAAAAAGTAACAATCAATCTCTTTCCGAAGTTTCAGAAAAGGACAATTTGAACAGAGAAACCTATGTAATGTCTTCCCCGGGTGACATCATTGCATCAGCGCCCTCAGTTAATTTTAATTGTTGAAAAAAGTGAACTTGTCAGTACATTTAACCAAAAAGGAATGTAAAAGAGTTTTAAGACATTGCAGAAGGGTAAAAAGTTGCAGAAAAATTGTGTCCAAGAAAACGTCATTGCAGCTACACATTAAATTATTTTCTCATAATACAATGTCAGGAGTGGATACCGCGCACGATATGGGGCCGATGGGTACCCCCCCCCCGCCACATGTCCAATCCCTATACACACTGTAGACTATTGCTACCTAACACATCCATCCTAGAAGTCTGTAACGAATTCCTGAGATTCCGATCAAACCATGACCAACACAAAGGCGGGGGGGGTTCTCTCCGCCCCATGTCTTGCATCATATGGAGGAATAGTGGAACACGAAGACATTGTGACTGTGAACATGGTGGATGTCCTTTGTACTTTCAATTTAACTGTTATTTTTTGGCAATGGCGTTCAGTCAATCTAGGTCAATACTCCTCGGGTTATGAGTGGTGGTTGGGACTAAATGATATTGATGAAGAAGGAACATACGTCTGGAGTGATGGAACCCTGACCGTGAGTATTCATGCCAGTTTCATCTGAGATTTGAGATGCATCCTCAACTTTTTACAAACGAAAATTGAATGACAAAGTTTAAAACATCGCAAAGCTTTCCGTAAAATGTAAATACAGGTAGGACTATGTACCATGTTCCATAAAAACTGCTAAAAGTCATCTCATCAAGAGCATGCATGATGCAAGCGGTTGTATCAGCTGGATAGTTTCAAGACGGTTTTGTTTATGTTAACACATAAGCCTACAATGACAGTGCGTAGAGGTAACGGATAGGATATCACCTAAGAGTGGCCACTAGCAATGCACTGCACATTTTCCGTAAATCTGAGACCCATACGATGACATTGCATGAACACTTTTTTCTCGTAAAGTATACACCATAATCCACGTCATGTTGAGTTTAAACTCCACCCCCCCCCTTCAGAATGTACTTTTTTGGGATCAGCATGAACCCAGCGGAGGAATTGAAGACTGTGTGCACATGTCCAGGCTGCTTCATCAGAACACGTGGAATGACAGGCCTTGCCATCAAGGAATGCGTTATATTTGTAAGAAGGGTAAGTATCAGCGTAAGTAGTGACGCCCTTTGTAATACAGCGTTAAATGGGGCCTACATATAAAAGGAAAGCAAGTTTTGAGGGCACCCACCCAGTCCCACTCAATAGTCATGCCTTTACAACGCCCTTTGCTGCGAATTGGCCTGGAAAAAAAGACCTGCTGATTATTCCATGTGTGATTTTAGGGCAAAGCTACTATAACAAAATCCAAAGGCGTTTCAAATGTTTACTGATGCTGATACGTTTGTTTGCAAATTGTCTGATTTTGTTTTATCTCACTGTTGTTTTATTTTAAATCATTGTATAACGGTGCTTTAACTCTACCCTTGGGCTGCTATTGCCAGTTATTTTTAATAACCCAGCAAAAATAACAATAATAATCATAATAACAAATTCCCATAAGAACGTGCACACAATCTTTCCAACTTTGCTGCCCCATAATTCAATATTCCCTAATCTGATCTGAACCAAACTTTGTATGTTTTCATTTAGGCCCTAAACTATCATCTCTCAAAATATGGACGTTAACATTCGGCCTCCTTCTTGTAGTTTGAAAATAGGGAGACACTGAAATGTCTCCCTAACACCCAATGTCTCCCTAATGCTGAAAAGATTACCTCAAAATGTCTCCCAAATGACCTATTTGTAAATATAATGCACTCACCCATGTAAATCACACACTTATGCTCAATGATGTTTGAAATTGATTATCAGCCATAGATAACGAAGCTCCGGTCATCATATGCCCAGCAAGCCTAATTCTTGAGACTGATCCTGGCCAGAGTTTTGCATCAGTTCCTCTATTAGATGTCATCAGTGCCACTGACAACTTTGGGATTTTCAGTGTCACCATTGAAGTAGACAGTGTTCCATTAAGGAATGCAGACGCCATATTGAGTCTAAAGACTTCTTCATACTCGATCCGGTACACTGTATCTGATGCTACTTACAATTCTGCGATGTGTGAAACTAACATCATTGTTGTGGGTGAGCAACGTTTTTCCTTATGATGCATCAGAGCACATAGCCTAGATAAAGGAACAACATAAAAGCTTGATTAGCAATGTTCATAAATACATCGACAAAAACAGAAAAACTAGACTCGTCATGTAAGTCTATATCATCAGCAGTTGTCTTGCATTTTGCATCTATTTTTCCCATCATGATTTGACACGATGAAACAAAAAAATGAACAAGTCAAGGTTACTTTTTTAAGATATTAGTTTTAAGTGATCTGATCCTCAGGAACCAAATAAAGTTTGTGGCATTTTCCGGAAGAGGACAGCTGCAGAACGTGACACGACCAAAGGGCAAACAAATAATCAGTTTTCTTTTTCTGTAACGTTTCGGAGGAAAAAATGTTTTAAAATTGCTTCTTTCAGTCGAGTGATATTTTTAAATATACTTTCTGACAGACAAAACTGCGCCTACGTTCCTCGTTGGTTGCCCTTCTAACATCAACCACTTCATCAATACCAGCCTTGTGTCAACTCCTGTGTCATGGCCCACACTGAATGCATCGGATCCCAGTCAACCGTTGCTATGGAACTCCAGCCATCAACCGAATGACTTGTTTCCCGTGGGTAATGCTACCCTGGTAACATATACGGTGACAGACCAGTATGGAAACTACGTATCTTGTAACTTCACTGTGACTGTCACAGGTGGGTGATCTTTAACTTTTGTCATGCCTTTCGGTGTGGCTACTTTCACTGACGGTAATAATCATTTATTTATTTATTTATTAAGCTTGTTTATACGCAGTAACCCATTCAACCGAAGTTTTTTTGCAAGGGGCCGTGTTTTATATATATTATTATTATTAAATTAGATAATGAAATGTAATATATGAAATTAAATCAATCACCAAGGATAAGACTGCAGAATACTTGTTAATTAATAATTTCTAAGTAACAGTCATCAAATTACAGCTAATTTATAAAAAAAATGTGAAGAATAAAATGCTTAAAAGCAAACTAACTAAGGGGTAAAAATAAATAAAACAAAATAAAAAATAATAATACAAATTAAAAAAATAAATTAAACGAAATAAAAGTGGGATCAGAGTTATAAAAACCAAACAAAGTAAAGTCGAACATTATAGTGTCAGGCGGGTGGAATAGATGGGAAAACTTTAAACATGCCATTGCTAGCTCAATATTCATTTTAAAGCTTTTTAAGTGAGTACATTTTGGATACTGGCATGCAGGGAGTTCCAAATGGTTGCGCCCCTGTACTCAAACCATCGTTTAAGGAATTCAGTGTTTGGCTTTGGTATTGCAACGCACAGCTTACTTCGTCTCAAATCATATTAAACTTGATTGGACAAAATGAAATTTGTCTTTCAAATAGTGAGGCACACCATTGTTGATAATTTTCTACATCATGATGGCATCATGTTGGTGATATGATTTTCCCACTTGCCCTTGTCTTGCCCAGACCTGGTGGCAATCTTTTTCAAGCGATCCATTTTTTGCATGAAATCAAAAACTTCCTGATTGAGCCAAGGAGCAGGGGTTTGTCTTACTCTTTTTGTTTGACAAGGTGCGTGTTTGCCACAAATTCCAAGAAACAGATTCTCAAATTGATCAAGGGCAATATCAACATCATTGTAACAATAAAAGAGATTCCGATCAATATCACACAGGTCCTGTGAAAACATTTCATCACTTATTTTACCATAACACCTTATTGATATAACAGTGTGACCATTAACTTTAGCACTGATTTTACCCTACATGGCGTATATCATGGAGTGATCACTTATTCCTACATGTATTACACCAATGTTAACAATGTTCAGTCCGTTAGATGTACACAAAACATCAATTAAAATAGCAGAGTGCTGGATTACCCGAGTAGGCTCGTCAATTTCCTGAACTAGATGAAAATTTTCAGTAAGCTCGACAAGCCTTTTCGTGTAAGAAGAGGTATTAGTGCTTATAATGTCGCAATTGAAGTCACCAAGGAAAACCACATGTTTGTTTTCGTTTTCTATTTGGTCAAGTGTATGTTCCACGTGTTCAAACAAGCCCATACTGGAATTGGGAGGTCTGTACCATTTAAGGACAACAATTGGTTTCGACTTCCCCTGTGAAATTTCAATTGCCAGCATTTCAAGTTGATCTATCATGAGGTTTTTTCTCATAGTGTGGTTGACATTATTATACATTGCAATGCTACTACCATTCCTGTTACGGTCTTTTCTGTAAATATGAAAATTCTGGACATGACCTAATTATCCGTTATGACATCATCAAGTCGGGTTTCACATAGAGCCATTATGTCAATTGGATATTTCAAAAGAAGGGAAGTTCTTCATCAAAATAACCTGGTAAACTTCTGATATTCAAGTGGGTTTGATTCAAGCCAGGTTTTCTAGATAACACAAAAAACACAATTATCTATCGATTCGTGTGATTTTCTGATAGATGCATTCTCTGCTGGTATCGAAACCATTCTGTTGCTTGTGATGGTAGTAGGTGACGAGGCATCTTTGATACTCGTACTGATGGAATCACCCCCAGCTCCCTCTGTACCTGTTGATGTTTCATCCTGGTTTTCCGTGCCAGCCCCAAAAATCCTGCTGATGGTGTCCTCGTACCACGCTGGCATAAGTAGCGTCTTGGTTACGGTTGTGTTTTGGCTGATCGTCAGATCTTGGGAAATTTTGCTGGTGTTTCCTCTGCATAGATTGTCGCGGGTGCAGGAAAGAAATGATTGTTTGTAGAAAGAGTAGCCTGACCAGAGCGGTTAAGGTGGACTCCATCAGAGCACAAATGTCTATAGTTTACGTTAGCGTTATCGATAAACCCCCATCCATGTTGCTTGGCAGCTTCCTGTAAGTAGCCCGTTGGACTTGTTAATTTTTACTTTCTCGGCAGCAGTTTCTCTGTGGCGATGTATGATACCCGACAGTGCTATACTTTCCACGTGAGATGTCTCTTTTATGGCTTCTGCCAGTGAAATGATCTTATCATGTATGTCATCGGCAATATCTTGGTGTTGTTGATTCCAATGTGTAAAATGATCTGGGTTGGCTGATGCTGCTTTATTTGAGTCATAGCATAAGGGTAGACGTTGTCAATCTTGGCGCCTGGTTTAGACGAACATTTTACTTGCTAGGTGCACGTCAATCAGTGACCCTTTATGTGTTTAACCATGGAGTCATCGATGATCAAGGTATCGGCATAAGTCTTCCGTTTGATAGCTGGTGCCTGATTCATATACCGTTCTCCTCGTTCTTTTCTGTACTGATCGAGTTGCTGCTGAAAGGTTATGGGTTCAGAGGTCGGACTCGTTGCCTTCTTATCGATGTCGTCTTGTGAGCCCGTCAAGATGTCATAATAGGAATCAATTAGCTGCTGTGCGTCATGCACAGTATCGCCATCGGTGCCACTGTCCAGTGAAAGAACAGAAAAACGATTCGCTGATTCAACTTTTCTTTAAATGTGTTTCTCGTGTTTTGTCCTCCAGGAGTTGGGCTGGACTGTCCAGAAAATGTCACAACCGTTGCTCAGCCAGGCAGCACCTCAACCAATGTTTCCTTGGAGACACCCACCATTTTCTTCAGGGGCTCTCGGAAGGACGTCCTTTACTCCTTTGCCGACGATAACCCGTTAGGAAATGAAACGGGGGAGGGAATAGTGCACGTTCACTCTGAGTACCTGGCAAGAGATGTTTTTCACGTAGGAGAAACATCAGTTAGCTACTGTATTCAAGAAACTGGAGTTCAGTGTCAGTTTTACGTCTCTGTCATAGGTAAATATGATACTTATTTCAGGATTTGTCCATAGTATGGGAAGAGCAGCCTGATTTCAAATAATAACATGAAGAATTGATTTTCTAAAGGAAACTATGAGAAAAGGGTCACACACTCAAATTAAAACGCTCATCAAATAACACTGCTGTTCAGAATGAAAATATCAACATTAAAGACAACGATTTCAAGAAGCTGATAATTTTGTAATTAATTTTTAGGACGCTGCGCCTCTACAACCACCGCTGACGGTCTGTCGTGGCCTGAAACTTTGGAAGGATTTATTGCAGAGTCAATAGAAAGATGTCCAGTAACGACAACAAATGGTATACCAACTGTAGCTCTTACATAAAATACCACCAGCCTCTTGCCTCAAAGCAGTAGACTCTTTTCCTTGGATATCAGTATTGTACGAAATTATGTTTGTCTGTTTGTTTTTCCTCCTTCAAGTCGGCCTGCCACTCGCTGTTAGGAATTGCTCAGTGATAGAACCTCCTGTGTATCTCCAGTGGGGAGAACCCGAACCACGAGACTGTGGGGATGCGGTCAGTGTCCATGATATAGCAAAGGTAGACATTGTAGACATGCATGCTTGAAACTGTCAGGGAATTGGCCGTCAGACCCAGAGGTTAATTGCAGAGATTCTCTCAATAGCTATAATATTAAACAAGAAAGATCAAATCTTTGCAAGACTGTGGAATAGTACCACAAGTTATTTTGTGTTGTTGATACTAGGTTAACATCAGCGGTAGTAATGTTGCTGAGGTGGCGAAGTATCTTTCCAACCAGTCATCGGCGACGCCTTTCTCTGCGGAGGGGTTGTATGTTATTTCACAGGTTTTGATGAAAATTGCTGAGACGGGCTCGGGGGATGTCGAGGTATATTGAAGCTTCTTGAAACCAATCTTCAAATGTTACTCTGTGAATTTGAAAGCACGTTTTCACTTTATATAAATCATGATGAACGAGATGTTAGCGTAATACCCATAACCTCTGTTCTGTCACCTAGGTAACCGAGGCAGTACTAGAAACCGTGAACAACATCATCTTAAAAGCAGACACGTCAACCGTCTCTAATGCTAGCAGCAGTACTTCATCCATCGTCCAGTCTGTACAGACTCAGGTCTCCTTGACTCTTCAACAGGAAGGTCATGTCAGCATACGGCAGGACACTGTCAACGTCGAGGCGGTCAGTCTGGACCCCGAGAAGGCCAGCGGTGGATTCAGCTTCGTGTCCGTACGTCGGCCCGGACAAGTCGAGACACCACAAGATGAATCGCTCGTTGGCGCTGAAGTCGAGACTTTTTTCAATACCAACGAGATACCGACGGATATCGATGTGGTGGCGTCGGTTTTTTTACCAGGAAACATTGCAAACTCAACGAAACCTACTGTTGGTATGAGTACATGTTTATTGGTTACACTGGACAAACATGAAAGGGCGCTTTGTAGTAAATGTACCCTTGCATATGATGTGAGGCATCATCGATGCTTTTTCTGAGCTTATCTTGTTTCTTTCAGGGGCTAAAAATTCAGCGTTTTACGAGGGTTGGCATTTTGTTTTGTATTGCTGCACAGGTAATACCTCCCAACTGCAAGCAAGTTTCCTGATTTACGCCGATGACACCTTGTTCCAATCTGCTTCAATCAGAAAGTACAGAGAACAGAATAACTCAACTCGTAAGGTAGCTGGATCTGTCGTCTCCCTGACTGTTGAAAATGTTGAACTTGACAATCTTATTGAACCGCTTGTCATCAAGTTCCGGGTAAGTTAATCCTGTTGTATCACTGTAATGGCTTAAACAGCTGCTTTTTTAAAGATTTTCTCCTGTTAACCATTGTGTCAAAAATACCAATTTACCAAAAGGTTTGTTTGGCACTAGTGTAGAAATGAACATTTACGAAAATAAGGTAATATTTGACTACTTTTCTAACGTGGATGTCACATCATTGGCCCAAGCAGTGATTCAATGTCCAACTTTAGGCTTTCCTCCAGTCCTGACTATGCTCCGTATTAGCAGTTGTAACAGGCAGCACTTTTTTCAAATTCCTGTTAATCATTATTTCATCATTACTTCCACTAGACACCCATCAGCTCAGCTTCTGCGGAATTGGACATCAAATCTACCCGGTGTGTCTCGTGGGATTTTGGCCTGGAGGATGGAGTTGGTGATTGGTCGACGGCTGGATGCACGCTCGCAGTGTCAACCAGCGAAAGAATCTCCTGCCATTGCAGCCACGCTACCAATTTTGCCATCTTGGTAGTGAGTAAATTTGGACAAAGAGAGCAGCATAAAGACAACGCATTATTACAGAAGAATTCTTGAATGGATTCTTTGCCTGTATAAAAATTAATCATCGTTATTATTTCAGAATGTCAAAGGTCAACTTTGGGATGCTTCTATCAGACGAACACTTGACATCATCAGTCAGGTTGGCTGTGTGTTGTCAATCATAGCTCTGGTGATCACGTTAACTACATATCTCTCCATCCGGTAAGACAAATCTAATTGGTGCTAACACTTCCTCGCGCTATCAATAGCTGCGGTGTTTCTTCAAGTGAATTTAGTCTTCATGATACACGTATGAAACTTTCACAGGTGGAACGAGGGAAATTAAAGCAATGTGTTTTTACATAGAAAAGTGGCTATGCCTCTTCTCATGGGTCCATCAAGGGTTGGCTGTATATTGTGTTTATAATTCCCCTTACAGCAAGCTGCGAAATGGAAAGTCTCGTCAGATCTTCATACATTTCTGCTTCTCCCTGCTAATGCTGTACATCGTATTCCTTGCCGGCGTCGACAATGCAAAGGTATAACGTGAACACCTATTGATTTACATGCACATTTCTTGTCGGAGTTTGCGCAGAGGGCCTTTCTCTTACCTCAGCTATGCATAAACAGGCTTGGCTTCTTACACCAACTAGATCCTATATATCTCAGTTGAACATTATTGGCGTGGAATGCGCAAAATTATTACTACTGATACACGAAACTGCGTGCATTATTTATATAAAGCCAAACAGATGAGGTGGCTTATACCCAAAGTCTAGTAAACAAAGGTCTCAAAGTGGTTTTAGAAATGACATTGAAGAGGGAGTTAAAGAAAGAGTCGAACAATAAGGTTGATACTTCAACTTCTTGAATCCAAAGGGCTCTGGAGGTGGTTGTGTGTTTGTGGCCGCTTTACTCCACTACTTGACTCTATCCACTATGATGTGGATGGCTGTTGAAGCCAGGAACATGTACATCAGTACGGTGAAGGTGTTCCCAGAAGACAGGCCTTGGTACATACTCAAGGCTTGCGTCATTGCTTGGGGTGAGTTTTGTTTTACTTTTATTTTTGAATCGCCAAAATAGAAAACATTTTTCGCGCCTAATTGAAGTTGTCAGATGTTGAACACGTTTTTCCCAATGGCTTTTCCCCAGGATCTCCGCTGATTGTTCTGACGATCACACTGGCTACAGCTACCAATCACTACGGCGCTATGCACTAGTAAGTATGATTCCATTAATGTTTGAGATGTTACCTGTGTAAGGATGAAAGAAGTTGAACATAATTTCTCATTGTATATTGTGACAGCTGTTTCCTGCGACCTGGTCTTGTGCTGTACATTGGTCTCCTTACTCCCATCGGCCTCATCCTCATCCATAACATCGTCACCTTCGTATTGGTCATGCGCAGTCTCCTGACGGTCAAAGAGGCATCAGGCTCCCAGCAGATCTCCAAACGCCTCCAGAATGCCGCTGGTATCTCTGTCCTCTTGGGTTTGACGTGGTGTTTTGGGTTCTTGGCTATTAACGAAGCAGTATTCGCCTTCCAGCTCATCTTCTGTCTGGCCAACTCCTTTCAGGTACATTAGAAAGGTTAAATGCTTAGACTCAACCTGTTTGATCTCTTCAAGCATAGGACAACACATTGCTCAAAAACTGGGTTTTTTTTACCTACTTGTAGGGGGTGGCTGTGTTTATCATGTTCTGTGTTCGACGGGAGGAGGTTCGCACTGGCATTGCACCGTATATGAAGCGCCTCTGCTGTGGACGGGACTGTAGCATGCCCGAGCTGCATCCCAGCAGGTCTTATGATGTTGCCTTAGTCTTAAGCTCCGCTTCTGAATCCAGCACGTCTAACACTCCTGGTACTAAGATCGACACGTCCGTTTCCGAAACCCAGGAAGGAGTTGCATTTTTTAGGTACATTCAGGAAGTCTAAATGAAATTGGAATAAAAGATACCGAGTTCAGCATTACATGTGCAGAGATGTTGAAATTAAAGGGATTATGGATTGTTAAATAATTGTTATGGTTGGCTTATGGATTATAACTGATTTTTAGTTTTTGATAGCTTTGATATCTAACTTTTTCAACTTCAATTAACTACATTGGATCCTGTATTTACAGATCTATACAAACTGTGATTGAGTTACAGGCCTAGGCGGACATTTCTTATAGCACATGATGTACACAACTACCATTACGGTCAGAAAAGGCGCATCATATTTAGAAAAACTGTTATAAACGAACATGTGACAGTCATTATTTTTAGAGTTTAATTTGAAATTATTTAAAAAAAAAACAATAAATTGTTCTTTTGCTAAACTCCAATTTAGTCCGAACTTGAACGATAAAGTTTACGTATGCCTAACTTACTGAGCATCTTACTTAATGATGTAACGATGCAAGGCAGCAAGTGGGTATGAACGGTTAATGTTGTTTTAAAGTCAAATTTTAAAAGGAACATAATGTGTAGAATAGCCTTAGGGTGGACTTGCAGATAATTTCATTAGTGTACATAAAGAATAACGGCTCTGAGATTTTTTTGGAGACTGTACAGATCCGCTTGTCAATATGCTGATGGTAGCGAATAATGTCTTTGTTTTGATTAACGAGATTGAGCAATGTGCACTGAAAGGAAAATTGAAATGTATACTGTTAGGTTATAATTGCAGTGAATGGCTGTACATGTATATTCACTTTAATTCCTTAATACGAAATACTCCTGTTGGTGGTGAAATACTGAGAACGTTTCATTAAATCTACTGATGTTGTGCAGTCCGGTAATGAATCAATCAGAATGAGCCTTATCTGTGTTTCAAGAAATCAAGGTCATTCGGGTATAGGGACGCGCTGATAGGGCGGGCCTCGCACGCGCGTCCGAATGACTTCGGACGTGAGCATGAGCTGTCAGAATACTGAACTGGCTCTTTGTTCGCAGTCCGTCAGTACACTTCAGTTATGTATCCAGATGTTTAGTGCTACTAATATACTATTGTATATTCACGTATATTCATGCCCTTCACTGTGATTCTACCTCCATGTTGGTGCGCATTTAAGTTAGGCCCCACTGATTCCAGAGCCTCAGTTTTTCTACACGAACGAGCAAACGATGAATCAAAATAATTTTTATTCTCACTTATCTAGCTATTTATTTATTTGAAAGTTTCAAAATCATGTTTATCTGATATCCATGCACAATTTAAAAGAATGTCCTTTCGCAGCTAATTGATTTTATTATTATTAGCAGCGATACCTGGCGGTGTGAAGTTGGTTTCTTGTTCCTCGTTTGACGTTCGACATTCAATGTTGAACAAGTAACTGTTCCATATTCGAACGTTGAATAAAAGGGCTATGGAGTGCAACAGGGACAAAAAACAAACTTCCAATATATGTTGATTTGAAGCTTTGCATGGTGAAGTCATGAGATGTATAGTACAATAGGCTGGCGGGTACAGCATGGACTAAGTCTCCGAGAAGATGTGTGGTTATTAAAAGAACGACCAGTAAGTGCTGACTCGACTTTTCGGTCAGGATACTCTCGTTTTCCTTTGGAGAGAGGGCTAGACTCAAGATTTGCCGTTTAATCGATAGAACTAGAGGTTAATACTAAAACGTCCTTTTTTCATGAAACTATTTCACAGAATCGAAAATACACCAATCTCACGACTGAGTATAAATTTTTTACTGTGCTTATCTGCACATTAGAGACTCCGTTGCGTCCATTTCAACCAGGGTAAACTTAAGGCAGACATTTGCATAGTGAAAACAGCTGTGATGAAAGTCTTGTCTCGGCGGTAGACTTCTCCACTTGGAAACTACAGTGGAAAAATGAATGCCTCACACTAGACTTTTCTGCCATCGAAATAAAACACCCAATCCCGTGTTTTAGATGTGGAGTCGTCTCCGATTGAGAACAATGACATCAGATTCGATGTAATCTCCAGGCGGGGCATGGGGTTCGGGTATTTTATTTTGGTTTGAGAAATTCAGTGTAGTGTTAGGCAGTCACTTGTCCACTCTGGTTTGCAAGCGAAGAAGTCCAGCGAAGAGACACGACTTTCTTCAAAGCCCTTTTGACAGTGGAAAACTGCCTTTGCCCGGTTGAAATGCAGGCAAAGGGGTCGCTATAGTGTAAAGAAAGGCACCCAAAAAAGGACGTTGATGGCTGGCGCGTCTGCCGTGACTGATGAGATCGTTTGAGTTGAGCAGTTCGGTGAAAACAGGGAGAACGTAGCATTAACCTGAAGTTTCTCGTCTAATATTTACAGTGCCAAAACAAAACATACAATCGCCTACCTCAGGCTTCTTTGACCGGTTACCCGTTTGGCCCAGACGAACCCTACGCCCAAGGTTCCCTTTGAGGGAGACAGTTGTTTGTTTATACAGTACATTATTGTGAAAAGGCACGTACAATGTAATTTGCGTACATGTGAATGGAATTGGAAGTGGACGTTCGCGGTGCAGTTTTTTTTTTAAGTTTGTCCCTTTGCCGCACCATACTATTTTAGGAGTATGCACCCTGAATGTCAAACGGTTACTCATTCAACGTTCGAATATGATGGAACAGTTACTTGTTCAACCATGGAGAAATAATTTTATTTCTCCATGGTTCAACGTTGAATGTCGAACGTCAAACGAGGAACGCGGAATTAACTTCACATCGGTGCGATACCGGTATGTGCAGCTCACCAGCATGGAACAACCCCAGAGTACGAATGACCTTTAACCACTTAATATGACGTCATTGGAATATGTACGCGCATGCTCATAATGTACACGCAGGGGGGTACGAGGTCTAGGTCTTTACACATGTTTTGGGTGAACCATTGGTGATGTCGGTTAAGGTTGACCAAAGTTTCATGAAATTTAGGTACATTTGTACATATATACTATGAATGGTCGCAGACATGAGGATATAGTGTTTTCGGTTGTCATGGTCCACGGGGGACTGATTTGTCCATAGGAATGTCTTCTCAGCCGGAGAAAAAAAGAGCGTAAGTTTTTCCGTTTGTCCTGTTTCTTTGCTGTGTGTGTGTGTCCCAAGTTGTGGGAGGCAGGCAGGTACATGTAAATGTAGGTCATAAACTTAAGTCGAGTAAGGTCGCTGTTACGCCCCGACTAAGGCGTCTGCCCAAAAAATTCTCAACATTCTCCCAGACCAACCATGCTTACTGTTACTGTTAGATCAAGGAGCTCACCCCCAACATAATGTTAGGCCTAATTCACCTGTACCCAGCTTAGAGGAAGGACACAGACATGACAGAAGGAGTTGCAACTTGCAACTCTGGCAGTGGCACTCCAAAGTGTTCAATGGTGGTTGCCACCAAGTCAGACGAGTCATAGGAAACATTCCAAAAATGCCTGATCACTGCCTGCATCTTAGCCGGACAAGCCGGGCCAGTAATATTCTTGCTTGCAGTTAAATACAAATTATTGCTGTGACCAGGAAATCAAGAGAGAAATATCCCTGATTCGACCTACTGAGTACTGTTGCCATCATAAATAAACTTTTAAATTTTGATACACTGTTCCATTACCCATGCAGAGTTTGTAATTTTTTTCTCCTCTCTCCAATACATCAGTGTTCAAAGACTTGGTAAAAAGGCTAAGACTGGCCAACAACATGATGACTTTACTGGAAAGCTAAGTTCAAAGTAACAAAATGTGCTATTTCATCACAGGGAGTGCAGGGACTGATCGTGAAATCTCACAAAATACTCTTTTGTGCAAATGCCATGATAAAAATGATTGAAACAAAACACAAAATCTTGCGAACAACCAGGCTATTTACATGTAGAAAGAAGAAAGCGCTCATTAAGGGCAATGACTGCACGTATACATGTACACATAGATTTAGGGGACACAGCATTATGCAAGCAACTGCGCAAGCATTAAATTTTGTGTTGTCGTGAGATCATATCAAGCACCAACAAATGCATGAATATTCATTCTCCTATACCTCAAAGTTTTAAGGATATAGATTACCAGCGACAAATTGTAGCGGCGATCATGGGGTACAAAGGGGTTTCGTAGTTGTGAAACAGATGGTACGTAGCAAGCTTTCGCTGCGCTCTGGCTACGGACATACATGTACCAGGCATGCAAGGAAGCAGTAATTGGCCAGATGTTAAAGCCCAGGCAGTTCAAACTCCTTCTGTGTCCTTCCTCAATGTACCCAGGTACCTGGCATCATCTATGCATGTAGGCCTAGGCACCTGGCATCATCTAGGCATGTTGGCCTTGGCACCTGGCATCATCTACATGTAGGCATGTAGGCCTAGGCACCTGGCATCACCTACATGTACATGTAGGCCTAGGCACTTGGCATCACCTACATGTACATGTAGGCCTAGGCACCTGGCATCACCTACATGTACATGTAGGCCTAGGCACCTGGCATCATTTACATGTAGGCCTAGGCACCTGGCATCACCTACATGTACGTGTAGGCCTAGGCACCTGGCGTCATCTACATGTAGGCATGTAGGCCTAAGCACCTGGCATCTAGGCACGTAGGCCTAGGCACCTGGCATCATCTAGGCATGTACATGTACATGTAGGTCTAGGCAATAAGCTTTATCACAAATACTGCATACATGTACATGTAGGTGATATTACACAATGGTAGAAAGGCAATGTGGGAAGGAAAAAGGAGCAAACATTGACCCATTTTTCCTTCCCACAATGCCTTTCTACCATTGTACCAAATCACCCATGCAGTATTTGCAACAAGGCATATAGCATGTACAGATGTATGTATACATGGTATAGCCACTGATACCCTAAACCTTTTTTTTTCTACAACTTGTACAAATACAACTTAAAAGTTGTTCATGCTCTCAAACTTTGTGGTGTAGTTGCCCACCCAACTACAGTATTGTAGTTAGGACAATCCTTGCATTAGTTGAGATCATCCCAACTAATTTGCAATTTAATTTATTACTCCATCATCAGTCAGGTTTGGTTGAGTGTACATGTACATGAAGGCCTACTGTTAAATTTATTATGTAAAATGCTAGCATATAAGAGTTACAAAATAATTACATGTACATATACCATCTTCAACCTAATAAGAGACTAAGTGAGCGTTTGTCCAAAGTATTCATTCATTGTACATTTATGTGTACAGTACATGTACATGTACATGGAGCTGTCATGGTTGTGATGTACATGTGCAGCTCAAGACTCAGGGACCCATAGTTAAGATCCCCAACGGGTGTGTGTTTTTTTTCTCTCTCTCTCTTTTTTTACATATATATAGTTCCCATTCCTCTAAAGTTGCATGATTATCCTTTTATTGTTTTAAATTAATGCCTATGATACATTGCTTGATATTCCTTTTATGATTTTTGGCGATATTTAAGGGTACTGTCTAAGGCAAACAGTCCCAAATTACACTAGTCTGATTTCCACGTGTACATGTATCTTATGAATGTTAATTCACAATGCCAATGTACATGTAAGCGTGAAACCAGACAGAGATTTGCCATTGTAACTACTAACGTAGAGTTAGATTTCTAATTATGGTACATGTACATGTACATACATGTGTATCTAAAACATATTCAGTTGCTGTATTGGCACAACAGCCAAATGTTGCCAAAGTGTACGGGTATCAGGACTGTGAATCATATACATGTAAATATCTACTGCCCTCTTATTTTCATAGGCCTAACGTTGCTCTCTGTGAAGTCCTTGTTATTAACATGACAAGCCCTTCATACATTTTGAGAGGTTTGTCTGCTGAAAAGCAGGTAAATAAAGTTGGCCTGATTGTGTTCCACATTTGTTTTTCCTGCTTTAAGACTCGCAGTCTGAAACCAAACCATATTGCCACCCAAAACACAGCATTATTGGAAAGCATTGCCCCATTATTGGTTTTTGTACATGTATAATACATGTAGGCTGATGATTTTGTTTGTTTCAGTGATGTAAAAGTGGTCATCATTGGTGATGCATTTGTTGGTAAAACCACCTTCATCCGAAGGTACATGGAGAGAAGATTTTCTGAAAACTTGGGGGTAAGCTTTCAAATACTGTACAACATATATACCTGTAAAATTTGTGTGTGATTAAAGGTTAGATGAGCCTTAATGTAATGCATATGACTTAGAGTGACAGTCATCGAGAAGACATCAAATTACTACATGTACAGTGGCACCATACTCATTCTTGTGATGCATATCATTTATCAAGCTTAACAAGGAGTACAACATGTCAACTTTGAATTCAGTGGGAGCTGCTTTTTAGAATTCCGTATGAAGGCAAACTATCAAACTATCTCGTGCTACAATGACATGTATACTTATGTACATGTATGTACATGTAAGCTCTGAGTGTTATGGTACACATGTCACATACATACTTGTATTTACAATGTACATCAGTTGGGCTCGGGTATTGAATTAACTCAAATGTGCAGTATATACTTGTACATGTATGTACCTGTTCTTTGTACCGGCTTACCCTTTTCTATATCCAAAAATGTTCACTTATCGTTAACGAATACATGTAGTATGGAAAAAAATCCTTAGGATTTTCTTTGAGCTGTATCTCTTCAAGTATTGGTTTCCGATGATATAATCAGACACTTTTTTTGAAATTCTTCAGACTGTGGGTGCATGCTTCTTTCTCAAGCAGTGGCATGATTACAACATAGCTATATGGGTGAGTACCTTTCAAGAGTACGTGCACGTACATGTACAGTATGTGTTCTTGTGTGTATGTACATGCATTCTTGTATGTACATGTATTCATGAATCGTTGGAAAGAGCAAAGGTCAACTTTGATCATTGAGCTTAGAAAAACCAAAGTGCAGATTGTGCCTGTTTGTTTCTGTTGGCTGAAACTCTGCCATTGCCAGTCTGATGGGTACTGTACATGTACATGTACAGTGTATGTACAGTACAGTAAGCTCCGGTGTGCACATGAGTGTACATGTTTATACAGGGTGTTCCAGAAAAAAAAAACCTGAGGAAAGGGGTTAATATGCCCAAACCATGAGATACGATTATAATGTGTGAGGATCTCCGGAAAGGAGAAGCAGAATTCTTTCTAATGATACCTTAATGGTATCCCTCCTGTCATGCATGACTGAACATCATTGTCTTGAAAATGGGGCATCCGAACTCAGTTGTAACACTTTGGATGCGTTCCAGGAGCCATTGAGCCAACTCCCGTCTCCTCCTGAGGTCTCCACACAAAAGTTGGTGGCGGATGTGCATTCAGTATGGATGGAACTGCAGGTTTAACTGCATTATGCGGTTAAATAAAGAATGGACAGTCTAAGTCCCTTCCTCCAGCAACTGGATCCCCTTGGCTGTTCGACAAGTTGTTGTCGAACTGCAGCAATGTTTTCAGTAGTTCGCGCTGTGTGCCTCCTTCCCGAATGACCCTTATTCAAATTAAGGGTTGTCCCATGTTCTCGGTATTTGCGCACATTTTCCCAGATGGTCGACTTTGCTGGTGGATCCCTATCATGGAAGGCTTCCTTAAATGCAGCTCAGGTGACCTGAAAGCTCTTGTTTTCCAGAAATTTCGTCACGACAAACACTCTTTGCTCTTTGGTAAGTTGCACCATGTTGCAGACTTGCTGTCCTGCTTCAAACACTTTCCAACACTGCACTGGCCTACCTCGGGGCAAGTCAACACATTTAAACCAGATTATTGCATAACTTGAAAGTGACAAAGGCAATCTTCCCTCATTAACAGGACATTTTGTTGTCACTTTCAACCACGACAAGCATGACAGAGGACAACCTCATTTACTGGTTTATCCAAAGTGTTACAACTGAGTTTGGATGCCCCATTTTCAAGACAATGGTGTTCAGTCATGCATGACAGGAGGGATACCATCCAGGTATCATTAGAAAGAATACTGCTTCTACTTTTTGGAAATCTTTATACATTATAATCATATCTCAGTGTTTGGTTTTTTTCTGGGACACCCTGTAAATATAGCCATACTTGTTCGTAGAATACTGTACATGTAGGTACCATGTACATGTACATGTAGCGGAGAAATAGAGGAAGGAGTTACTTAGTTGAAAGTGTTAAACCATGATTCTCAAACTTCCTGTTACGTGAAGTCAGGGAAAATACCAATTTAGTCTTTTTGTTTTGTCAATAGAGTACCTGAAACTGTAAAACAGACAAAAATAAATACATGTAAATGTCCAGTCATAAAGAATGTCAGAGTGACTCATTGTTTAACAATACAGTGTACTGATGAAACTGGGCCATCAAGTTTTCATATGCATATTGTACATGTTCATACATGTATGTACATGTACACTGTACATGTACATGTATGTACATTTACATTACATACATGTATAACGGGTCAATGGCCCTTTCACTATTTGAGCAAATTTCAGTAAAGGATGGTGAATGCTAACATCTACACCCCATCCATTTGAGAATGGGAAACTTTTAATTTATGGGTATTGTTCAGTAGAAATCAATGATCTCAAGCGTTGTCGCTGATTTTACTAGGATACTGCTGGAGAGGAGAGATTTTCCGGTCTGAGTTCCTTCTACTGTCGTGATGCCTCAGCTGCCATTGTTGCCTTTGACTTAACCAATCAACGCTCGTTTGACCTTCTGTCTGAGCGCTACCTGCCACTGCTAGACGCGGCGAAGGAAGACTGTCTTCTGTGCCTGACGGGAATGAAATTGGACCTTACAAATGACAAGGCTCGTGTTGACCGTCAGCAAGCAGAGAAATTTGCTGTGCAAGTGAATGAGCCAAGATACAGAGATGCCGCAGAGGCGGGCTTACCGAAGCCCTACTTTGAGACCAGTTCACTTACTGGTGAAAATGTCGACAAGGTGTTTGAGTTTATTTTCTCAACGCTCCTCCCTGTGACGAAAGACGGAACGAGTATTCAGCGGAAAGCCAGCCAGCAGAGCAGAGGGATTGTGCATGTGGAAGCAGATGACGATCAAAGCCCACAAATGAGCAAGTCAAAAAGCTGCTGCAAATGACCGAGTAATTGGGCGGCTGAAACTTGAAAGGTCTACATGGTAATCATTTTTCTTCCATTTGAATCAAATCCACAATGGTCATGGTAATTTGATGGTGTGTCATACATAGTATGCCAACTTGATTTAATCAGAACTGCTCCCATTTTTTAGTTCCCAAATGTCGGGAAAATGGAAGGTTATGATTTGCATAAAAAGGCAAAAAAATTAAAAAGCTCTGGTACACGTAAAAGAGGGTGTTCTTTGCAAAAAAGAGGTGCTCTTTGCAGTAAGAAGAAAATGCTATTACAATGTAGCTATGTCAAAATGGCAGTTGTCACACAGAAAAATTTGTATACATGTACATGTACTCATGTAGGTGTATGTGTGAAAAGTTTCTCTTGCACCACTGCTCCTAAAATGGGTGTTCCTGTTTCTATCTTTCAACATTGGCAGGTAAAAATGTACCAGGGTATAGAGTTTGACCTTGACTGTAGATAAAACAATGTAACAAAATACATTCCCATTATTTCGCTTCTGCTGTCCACAATCAGAAACTCATCAGAACACTGATCACCACAGGTTACATGTGGGTCATTCTATGAGGCTGGGGCACAATTTTTGACTGTGTCCTGGTTACATCGTAACTGTTACCACCTGTCCTGACCTGTAGAGTACATGCAGGTCATTTACTCTTGAAAAATACACACACCTCCTGACCTCTGTATTCAACCTTGGAAGAAGTACAGTGTATGTACATGTACAATGTACAGTATAACTGTCAATTTGGAATCCACATGCAGGGAAATACATGTATACAGTACGGAACCTACATGTACATATGCACAATCACACATTGTGCCCCAACCTCATGGAATGACCAGTGTACATGTACGTGTACAAATACATGTACATGTACACATAGTTTTAAGATTCAGCCAGGTTAAGCATTTCTGTGAAATGTTGGTTCATTTTAATGCAAGAGATTTTATCTTATTAAACAGGAAGAGAGAACAAAGGTGTAAATGGGGTTTTCTTTCTCGAAAATAAATCTCAGCTGACGAGGTGTATTTTTGTATAGTTTCTGGAGATAGGAGCATAAAAAGTGTTGGTTTTCACTCAGTATACCAAAGTGCCAATTCAAATGACATAAATGAGCTACATGTACACGTTATATGTACATGTACTGCACCGTACATGTATTCATTGCAAGCTTGCATACTGTCGTGAGGTTTTGTCCAAATGTTTCATTTGAGCAGTACATGTAGTTCATGATATACAGGCAGCAAACAGAAAAACAAGCCATTATAGCTGTGCAGAATAACCCTGCGCAAAAAACCTTGAAACGATCAGAAATCTGCAGGCCCATGCTAGCATTTTGTCATCGGAAAATACATGTACATGTAGGTCACAATCAGGGGTGTTTAAAATGGGCATCGTTTGTCATGCGCCTACATCTTGAAAGAAGTGTTTTGATAGAGCTTGGTCATGTTGGTGTCTGCGTGTATTTGGTGTCCCTCGGGTTTCCTAAAATATGGAGACACAGCCCACAGATGTCCAAAATGTTGGTCAAATCCTTGTTATATTTTTCAATAGGTGACTGTTTTTCTGTTTAAAGGTGCACTGCCCGAGACAATTTTTTTTGTTAGTGTTCAGGTCAGTACATTGTACCTGTAAACATACAGGTGTATATATGCCGGTACGGGGGGGGGGTGTGCACATGAATTTACAATTTTCTGGGAATTTACTTCTGGTTGAGACAAAATGAAGAATTAAAATGATGTACATGGATGTTCACTGTACTGTATTGTACATGTACATGTCTGTTTGAGTAAAAAAGCAAAATTTTTTTACTATTTGAATTTTTATTTTGCATGTGATTTTTAATGGTGTTTTGTAAAATCCATTGTTCCTTGAAGTTGCAGAGAAGTAAATGTGCATGTACATGTAGGAATGGTCACTACTGAAATGAACCAGTCGGTATTCCAACAGTGCATGCTCAAAATGGCGCATGTCTGAAGTGTGTGAGATCTGCCCTATCAACGGTGATCAACATAGCCCTACCTACAGGACTCGCTCAAATAGTTTGTTCCTACCAGTAAATGACTTTGGTGGTTTTTTGGGGGGGAATCCAAAACTCCCTGGTGTATTCAAGTCGGGTTTTCGGATTTTAAATTGCCAATATACATGTGCCATGCAACTCCTCCGTGTATTTGAAATCTGTACAATGATATGAAAATTTGTCCATACACCATGTACACTGTATATTAGAAATTGCAGATACTGAAATGACATGCACAGAAAATGAAAACTTGAAGTTTGATTACATCTGTAAGTTATAAATTCAATTGTAGTCAACAGCGTTGCATATCAGTAACTGTCAATTTTAGGGAGTTATACATGTATGTAGCTCAACTGAGTGGAGCATCAGTATTCCTCTTTTTCAGTTTTGGACGGGATCGTCATACTGACGCTCCATGATATTACATAATAGTAAGGTGAAAACGGTCCTCAAAAATTCCAAAGACTCACCAAAAAATACCTGTATCACCACCTACTGGCTTCCCTAAATGCCAATATCAAAAGGTTGGGACTTCAATGATATTTCTGACCGTTTGACATTGGCATTTAGGGAAGCTAATATCATTGAGTGTTAGTATGATGATGATCCGTCCAAAATCAAAACAGAGGAAATAAATGCTTCACTCAGTAGAGCTAGGTGCTATACATACATATACATGTATGCAAGCTTACGTTTTGCTAGTTGTAGAGGCCAGTAATGAGAACATGGGCATCAGCCATTAATAAACCAATCCATTAAGCCTAACCCTATTACATGTACATGTACCTACCAAAAGTGGATGGGGGACCAAGTCCCCCCAGTCAAAAAAAAGGGGGGGCTACTTTACTTTCTCTCCCCCCCCCCTTTCTGCTGTCAGTGCCCGTGACCTTTTGGATTGTACAAGTTTCAGCTTTTTGACCAGACTTTGCCCTTTGAAGCAGTTGCTGTCAAGTCTTTGTAAGCCAATCACAAGTCATTCAGTGCAAGTTGAGCCACAGGATCATCAAGTGGACCATTACCATGAAGATTCTCGCACAGAGTAGACCAATCCATTAAATCCCACCCCATTGTCTTTCAACCAATCACAGCTGCGATTAACCTGTATGTGTTACATGCAGCGCACTCACATACGACGCACGCACCTTCAAAGTGCAGGGCAGCATTGGACAGGAGCACGTGGTAATTGTCCACCTGAGTACCCAACTTTTGATGACTTGTAACTCACTCAACCACAACTCATCCTCTCAGAACTCCGGGATAGTAGCACAGTTGTGCTTGTGAGCATGCGGCTTAATTTCCCCCACTGTATTTTAGCTGTCCTTTGTCTTTGCTCATAATTGTATGAAAAGCAGAAAATGGAAGGTGCCCAATTAAAATTGTGTTTAAAAAAAGCAAAAAAAAAAAAGAGGAAATGAACCAGAGTGAATGAACAGAATGTGTGATAAGTAGGAATCAGAGGCTGGGGTACATTTGCCACAGGTTACTTGTAACAATAAAATGAAATTCAAGCCTTATGCTAACTGAAGAAAATTTTGTCAGTTCTATCATTCATGATTGAAAGTAATTTCTCTGTGATGATCAACAAGAAAGTAGAGTATATTTAATTTATATGTATTTATAATCATGATTTTGTAAAATACATGTAAAGACTAAGAAAATACATCTTTTAATTTTAAATTATGAATTTATTAAGCTTTACAAAGCAATTTTGACTTGTGCGTACAACAGCAAGCATTCAGATAAATTTTCTACAACTCTTCTTTTATAATAAAACATGAACATGTCAACAATAGAAGCAAGCTGGAAGTCACCATCCAATGTTCTTACCCAAACTACTGGAAGCAGTTAATTTGCCAAACCATATAATGGATACATTTTCTCTGTAAAAATCTAAATTATACATAAATAAGAAAAGTGAAAGACAAAATAAATATCGTTCTTACGGCCAAAAGGAAACCAATATTTCCGGCATACTTTCAGCTTTTGCGTGCCAGGATTCCCTCTTTCATAATGTTTGGTCGCCATGGACTGTATGATTTTGGTTCTTAACACATACAGTATAAGACACTAATCAAGGCACTTTTTCATTATGTGGGAAGTTTAAGAAAGAAAACGGGCTACATTTAATTTTCAGATGACTGTGGCAATTATCGTGAATCCATGTAATCCACAGATACAATATCTTGACCAGATTTCTATCGTGAACAATGCCATTTAGTGTGCTTCGTACCGAAAAATGTAAAAAAAAAAAAAAAAAGGAAATCTGGAAAATGTCATGTTTTAACATACTTCCAATCAGGATCCAGACCATTGTTAATAATCGGGATAACTGGGGTAACCTGCTTCCGGGAAACAGTAATTTGGTCTACTTTCATACATGTACACAACATGTAGGTGTCCCTGACTGGAATAATACTTTGTCTTGTCTGTTCTTGGTATTTACTGGTCGTAATTCTCACACCTGTATGCTTCCCCCATACACTCAGTTTCCCAATCGTTAACGATCTTATTTTGCTGTGTTTTCAGGCTTGTTTAATTACCCTCATATCGTTGTCTGTGTCTTTATTTCTTCTGTATGTTTGTTTGTTTTTTTTTTGTGTTATAATTTTAATTTGCAACACAGGCCTGTTTCATTTTTGCTTAGGTCAAATAAATAAGTGATCATTTTTACTGTGGCTTTGTGTCCAGCACCGCCCCAACCTGAAATTTTAATCCCTGTTTAAGCACCAACTTCAACCTCTGCAGTCTCGTGATCCGGTACGTTTCAGTGCATTGGGCTTAAACTCTGACCGATTCTCACTAAACCATGTACATGTAGATTTGCTGAATGCAAGTCTCAAGCTTCCATTACTGTATCCAGTGACCACTTCCTTTTTTTAGAAACATAAGTACCAAGAGTTTTCTGCAATTTCTGCATTGCAGTTTAAGCATGGATTCGTTCAATTCATAAAAAATACTAAATCCAAGCACATGTGCGTGTACACAGATCACCAACACAACGTAATATATACTGTATACCCAAAGAATTGGTTAGAAGTCGGAATGCATTTTTTTGGCCTGATATAAACAAAGTTATGACTTCAAATCAAATTCCAGAATGAAAAAAATCCCACTGAAAGAAAATTTCCACTTCAACTGCTCAAACAAGGACTTATCTTTCAGCTCAGATTAAGAGTATGCATGCATTTCTCCTTGTCAAACTAACAAAGTCACTGTCTCCTGGCACGTCTAAGAAACTCTGCACTTTGAAATGGCCACACAGTAAGCTAGAGTAAATGTATAAATCTATGGTAATATATTGCTTCTTTTTTCTCAAGGCCAATCAATGCTTGTTTGTATCACTGAATTTAAAAACTGTCTTTAACACCTAACCCCCTAGGGTGTACTGTATGTAAAATCATCCTGAAATTGGAGGATTTGAGACTACAATTTACAAAGTTAAACTTCAATATATCTCAATCCAAATAAACAGTATAAAATCCCTTTACCAGACCAAAAAAAAAAAAATTAAAAACTGGAAAGAAGTACATGTACCAGTACTAATAAGTACTTGTAATTAAGCAAACTGCACTGTTGATGTCCCAACTTCCCACATGGACAACAGAGGGCACTTGTTACTTAGCAACAATGTCCCTCAGTCCCATCACACTCCTTGCATGCGCTGGATCAAGCATATTCACACGTATATATGTATGGTGCTGCGAACACGACCAATTTTCATGTGAATGTGCACAAGCCAGTGGCCCTGTGTTTTGGCCGAGGGTGTGCAATCAAAATGATGGGGGCACCGCTTGTTTGCAGGGTTTATCTGAAAGAATGGACTTTTGCTATGTGTTATGTATCAGTCCATAGCGTGTGTTTACCCACAAAGCCTACCTTGAAGAATGAGTTGGGACTGTGTGCCAAACGATGACACCTTGAGTTTAACTCAAACTGGTATTTACAAGGAGATTTGCACTTCTTGGGAGTCAAGCACAAAGGGTTGTTAAGATTTGAGAAATGTGTCACCGCGTTAATTACGGCATAAAATTACAAGCAGTATGGCATTGGCAACCAACCCAACAATACCAAATGAGAAGAAGCCACACTGCTTCATCAGGATGCCACCAATTGTTGGAGCAAAGATGCTGACCAGTGAGCCTCCCGCACTGCCGAGACCCAGCATGGTCCCTGAAGATGAATGGTAAGAGGCAGAATTTACTATCAGGCAATGCAGCAAATCTATTAGAAATCCATAGTTATTCTTTCCTGAATTTATAAACACATACAGCAACCCAGCATCTAGTTTTGTTTTTAAGAGGATAGAATCAGTGTTGCTGAAAGAAAGTGGTTTGATACTGTGCCTTAAGTGTTGCTGTCAAGGGGTCTTTCTAAGTGTGACAAATACACTGCAATATTCCAGAATTTAGAATGAGCCAGATAATGTGACATGAGCCAGATAATGTGACATGGGCACTTACATATAAGCCTTTAATAATGAGCAAACATTTATTTGGACAAGATAAAGCACAAATTCTATATCTTCATACTGAGTCAGAGTCTTTTCATGTACATTCTTGGGTACCTGTGGCAATCTTCAAGTACATGTTCAAACATTCCTACTTGTTCAGAGCACTGTCAAACCATACACTGTACATGTACTTAGTCCTACAGTTTATCCAGCTATGCATGTACATGTACTTCTTAAAATTGACATTCTGTGTAAGTTTGGACCTCGGGGGAAAAAAACACCCAGCAACCGCACAATGGCACATCAAAAGTGTGATTCCATCAGTCTCGATGGAAATGGGCTAATATGGATCTGGAGTAAATCATGGCTTTGAGGGGGGTTTTCAAAATTAAGTCTGGTAGGGTGTCTCACCTGTATCAGCAGCTGACACTATCTTGGTCATGACAGTGTTGAGGATGATCCCAATCACACTGTTACCGCATGTCAATGGAAGCATTATGAGAGCCAGATAAGTGACATTCTGAGCAAAGATCTGTTAAAGCAATCATCGAGAAATGGAATATTTTCAATCGGGTTCTCTCTAGGTTTCTCCTGACCAAGCCTGAGCACTTTGGAGCAAGAGTTGGTTTTATTACCAGAATTAAAATAAACGCAATTAAACTGCTTCTACAATGTGTGCTTAATTTAATAGATTTCTTCACAACATCAGCTAGTTTCACCTATAAATTTTTAATGATGCCAAAACTTGAACAAAACAGTTCTTATCTTCTCTTCTGCATGAGGCTGACAGGTGCATACATTGTAACTTTACCCCTTCTTTATTTATCACTTATAACTTTACCTTTATCCCTTGGCATTTTCACAGAGACCTATCCTGAACTGTAGAAGAAATCCAAAACTGTACAGTAACAAAAGCAAATTCTCTGAACCCTTCACAAAATAGGGCCATACCCTTTCGTAAAGAAAGCTGCAGTGGCTGGGTGCTAGAGTCCTGTATTTATCAAAATCATACAAAACCAGCTGCTAAGAGAGAGCTAGAGTTGAGGCCGAGGGTGAAACACTTGTCTTACCATTAATGTAAATGATACAATTAGGAGTACAGCTGATGCTCTGAGGAGGGCCATGTCACTGAATCGTTTGGTGAGTGGCCCAATGCACAGGCCCTGTATCAGCTGAGGTTCCAAAAATAACAAGAAGGGAAATAATACACAGTTATAACAACACAAACAACCCAACCAGTGAAAATACGATTTCAAAGTGCAGAAACAATATTGTGAGCCATCACAAAATATGGGTGTTAAAATTGATATAAAGAAGCTTGCGAGTTTGTAGTGATGATTTCTCACTATAAGCCATGTGAAATATTCTACATCTGAATCGGATTCACAATTTCTGAGGGCCATTTGAACAGGGTGACAAATGCCAAATATAAAATGTGCAGGTATATATCCTCTAACCATAACCCATGTGACAGACGAACTTGGGACTTCATGGCAATTGTGCAGTGTTTGAAAAAGAATGTTGTTTTTTGTTTGACGGCTGAATGCGAGGTAATTTCCAGGAATGATGAAACTTGTCTACAATTTCTTTTTAATTCTTTATATACCAAATGTTTTAAATCAAGCCTTTTGGCAATGTCCTGTCCTTGGTAACTACTACTTGATGGAATTTAAGACTCAATCAAAAGTATCTCACCATGCCAATGATTGCAAGACTGGACAGAACATAGCCGTTGTATTCTGCACTCAGTTCAAATTTCTCCATCAGGATCATGGGAAACATACTATGGAGAATTGAATTAGGCAACCCCGAGACCATGGTCACGAGGAGGAAGAACAGCGCCCCCGGTGTCTGAGTTAACAGGGTGACGTATTTCTTCAAACTGAAAATGCCGGTTTTTGACTTCTCTGCAAAGCGAACAGCATAGAATGATGTCACATCCTTACACCTCAGAAATTTGAAATTGACACTAGGCACCGTCGATATTGTATCTTGGCCGATATCGATATATCGGAACTTTAATATTGATATGTCGATATTTATTCATTTCAATTTTCACCTTAATTGACAGCTCTCACGCCATCTACAGATAAGCGTGAGAGCGGTTTTGGACTTTATATCCTACAGTACACCTTTCTAGTCACAAATTTGCACCAAAATGTCCTAGATGTCATCGTTAGTGGTTCTGCACTATCTTCTTTAAATTTTGTACATATAAAATATGAAATATTCAATCAATCATTCATATTTTAGACATTATCAATGAATTATGTTTCTTTAGAGTAGCAATGCATATTTATGACTATGCAAATAAGGGTGGAGTTTGCAGACCGATGTCAATAGAGAATGCCGACTGCAACCAGGCTTTGAATTAGAAAAAAATATTCTACATGTACATGCACCACGAGTGCATGCAATTGAAAAAGTTGACGTGCACTTCCAAAAAGTTACATGTACATGTACCATTAGCTTATGTAAGAAAAACTAAAGAGAGTAGAACATAGTAACTGTACATTACCCTGCAAGTTTACCTCATTGCAAGCTACGTGTACTTGACTAGCTGTCAAAAACTTGACCATGTAAACACACGATACAGTAAACATAGAGTATACATACTGTACATTTACATTTGACGACGCAACAGAATCATACAACACACACGCATGTGCCCTTTATGCATCCATTGCTGTAACCCCTATGCTAGTCTTTCCTCAACAGGTAAAGTTGACTGCATAAAAGTTAGCTGCATGTACATGCACTGTGCCCAGTCATGCCAACGTTCTGTGTGGTTCTATTTAGGCTAGGTCCATGGTGACACAACAGAGTACAGAAGTGAATATGTCACATGCACAGTGACATGTACGTGTGTAAAAGATAAACCACATTAGCGTGAGAACCAACGTAAGCCGTGGCTTATCGAAAATTATGGTAATGTGGCAATGCACTTTCGTACTTTTAATAAATTCGTTCCTGAGTAGCGATATTTTTGGTATACTTTTCAATATTTATGTTTTCAAAGTTTTGATAATTTCTATATTTCTCGAAAATCTGATATTTTCGAAAATCTGATATTTTCGATATATCAGTATTACCAAATAACTAAACATCAGCGATATCGATATCAAACCCACGGATATCGATAATATCGATATATTGACGGTGCTTAATAGACACATTATGCCTAAACATTCTAGATGTACACAGGACGTTTGAATAAAGAAATATCTAGGAACACTATTCCTTGTGACCCCTTCTAAGGATCAACTGCTCACACCTTGCTGAAACTTCCGTTTAAGCAGTCACTGAAAGTACTTTGTATGTTTCACCTTTTTTTTTTTAATGTAATTTTTTTTTATCTCAAAATATAAAAAAGTTCATACATGTACTTGTGTTGGAAATGTTTGCTGGGAAAGTGCCCTTACATCTGGTACTGACCTTCCTGTATTTTGGTGACAGCGACCTTTTTGGTCTGAACTGGAATGAACAGCTGCACCAGCATCACACTGAGGAGGGATCCAAGGCAAGACACAAGGGCCGCATGCTGCTCACTGCCGATCGAAGAAGACCCACAGAAACCAGAGTATTGAAATATCCACAAAGCCTGGCAATATTTGTAATTCTGATGAGCCAGTTTATCAAATGAAAGTGTGTGATTATCGTTACTCATTAGGCTCATATCAAAAAAGCTTTACATTCCTGAAACCATTTCAGCTCCCTGTTTGATGCTGATTATTTCTGCTGCAAAATTAAAAATAAACATCTCTACCGTCATCACAGGTATCATGCTTGGGAGTGGGGAGAACCTTGGGGCAAAGTGACTCGCCCTAGACTGCTACTCAGACAGGTCAAACAAGAATTATACCCAAAATGTTGGCAATGATGACCTCTCTGGTACAGCTGATGTCTACTTCTTACCTATAATACTTGGTGACCTGGCCACCAATGAGTGGACCAACAATCATTCCCAGACCATAGGTCATTCTCAGTCGCCCCAAAGATTCGGCCCTTTGACCCTCGTCTGTGAGATCAGCTATCACCATCTGGGTTCCTGCAAGACAAATTCAATACAAGAAACAGATCACAAGAACGTTCCTGAATTTTTTAAAAAACATTCTCTGGTCATTCCAATATAAGCGGTCCTTAAGCCATCATTTTATAATAAACCCATCCAAATTTCTCAAAATCATCCATTTCTGCTGGGTTAAGGAAGGTAAAGCCCAGGCATATTTGCATGGAATGGTGATGGAAAACAGTGTACATAGTTTCCTGCAAAGCAGAGAATTTTGAGAACTCAAAAATGGTCAAAGCAAAATGTGTGAAAAATCTGCTTTGGGGATTTTGGAGGATTCCAATTGACATGGTTTAGATACATGAAAGATTGAACACTTCAATATTAGTTGAGCAATACCATGATTAGCACTGAGAAACAACGCAGGCACTCGGGACAGAAACACAAAGGCTCCAGTGGTTGCCATGCCCAGCAGACCGTACATGGAAGCTGCCATTGCGTACGCTAGCGTCAGGGCTGCACGCCCACCGTACAGGTCCCCAAAACGCCCAAATATGGGCGTACCAACAAGCAGAATGATGTTGTAGAAGGTCTGCAGGTAACCGTAGACGACCATGTCCATGCCTAATTTCTTTGTCAGGTACTGTGCCGGGAGAAAATGTAATTTAAATTAAGTTCAAAATGCATAAAGCAGAGACAGAAGGTTACGCAAGTGTTGGATTTTCCTTGCCGTAACTTTTCCAATTGCATCTATCGTGTCTACCAGTCAAAGCGGGGCTTATGCCAGTGTTTGATTAAATGTGTTCAACTCAGATATTTTGAGAATTACACACAAAACATAAGTTTGAAAAAAGCCCATGTGTATTTCAGACAACGAAGGAAAGTACATGCACTAGGATGGTTCACACAACTAAACTTAATAAGGTACATCGTAACAATATTCAGCATAAGAACTAAAAAACAGGTGAGATGTTATCATTATAATATCAATTTTTTGTGAGACATACTGTACATGTGCATGTACTTACAGGCAAGACACCTGTTTGAAGCCAAAAACACGCAGCATAGAGGAAGATGTTGATATGGAGGATCCTTTTGATCACTCCCCAGGAGGGCGAAGACGGAGGAAGATCCTGTTTAGCATGATTACATGTACTTCCATCATTGGACAGTTCATTTGTCATCTCAACATCTGAAGATGAGTGTGTCAGCTGAGCAACAGGTTTGCCTTTTACATGTATATCGTCACGAAGTTGGTGATCTCCGTTGGTGCCTCTTTGTTGACTTGTGTCCATTGCAGCGGCATCTGTCATATCTTGGGTGAGGTCTGTGTGGGAAGAACCAGTCCTATGCTGCAACCGGTTGGCTGCTTCATCTGTTGCTGTCTGTCGGTTGGAACGCAACTTCATGTCTCAACCTCGCACAGCCAACTGGGAATATGAATTACCAGCGTATCAACAAATCTGAATGCTGGTAGTTGAACTTCCAAAAAGAAATTTAGCAGTTGCACAGGGCTCCAACTTAGAATGTCAAGTAGGGATCGTGGCATGTCCACAGGAAAGAGAAAATGAGATTTCTTTCGAAAACCACTTAGGGCCTATCCATTTTTTCATCCTTAAGACTCCTACACCCCCCCCAAAAAAAGGCTGAAGTAGGCCTAATAGTACTATCTCAAGTAAAGAGTTCGCATTTTCTTTTTCCAAAATGGCAAAAACTCTCCCCCACCATGCCCTCCCCCATCACCCGGTCAACAACCAGTATGGCAGTAAACAGTTAAACATCCATTGCTCTTTCAAATTTCTGCACGGTCTCAGCAGTCACGGCAGTATTTAGCCCAATATATGGCCCAAGCCGCCCAACGAAATGCAGAATGAAGCCCCACAAGTGGTGCGGTACTGCAAATGGTGGCGGCACGCGAGGACGAGCAACAAACCCCATATTACAGTCTACAATTCATGTTATGTCCTGGTGGAAGTACATGTAATGTTTATGATCAGGATTAACTTGTCATGGAAGTCGACATCGCATCCATCAGACAGTGTGTGCATGGGGTGTGCTCACGTGCAAACAAACCAGCAAGCAACGCCAACGGACGATGCATTTATAAAACTACTTTTATGGATCTAACTTTTTAAAATTTTTACCGTGAACATAGAGCTACAACCCAGTGCAGTGTTAGTCAGCTGACCGACTGCATCAATTTGGTGCAACTAGCTATCCGGCCGCCCAAAGATAGATGACCCTGACAGTCACTTCGCCCCATAACCACTTCGCCCGTCACCATTTCGCCCCGTCTTCACATCGCCCCATCTCCACATTGTCCCCATTTCAATTCCACTTCGCCCTGTTCGTGCTCGAGTGTTACAGGCCCTCTTAAAACATGGTCGAGAGAGGAGTTCCATAACGACATGGAGTTACACATGTATATAGAAAACTCTAACATCGACTGCATTGTTAATGATGAATTAATACATATGGTTTCACAAGCATAGGGTTTATTTCTTATCCTCTTCAAATTTATTTCAAAGCGATGCACAGTTCTGTACACATCGTTCTGGTTATTGTCAGACGTACAGCAGTGGCTGCGGCCCGGAGGCCGCGCCGCGGCAGGAATTTTGTGGAAACATGCTCGCTTCAAGTAAGAGCAAAACAACCTAAAATTAAACACATGAACACAGAAAATACACATATAGACAAGACACTAAGTTTCGTGAATTAACTTTAAGAAATCTTGCAACAGTCGGGTACGTGGCATGAACATTGGTTGCCACACTCCATCAATCCTTCTCTTGTGGGGGTGCAGCGCGCGGGAACCAGCGGTTTGCGCAGGTGTCACTTGGTTGCTCAAACGTCGGTGTTTTCATTTGTTCCATCTAGGCATATGCCTCTGTTACTAAAGAACAGAATGAACGACAATCGGTGGGGCGAAGTGGAAATGGGGCGAAGTGGAAATGGGGCGAAGTGGAAGTGGGGCGAAGTGGAAGTGGGGCGAAGTGGAAGTGGGGCGAAGTGGAAGTGGGGCGAAGTGACCGACGTGGAAATGGGGCGAAGTGACCGACACCCGACATGATCATGATGATCATACCAGAAAAAAGTTCCTTTATATTAAATGAGGGGTGTTCAATCTCAATGTATTTCGAGTTCAAAATAGGGCAGATATGGAAAAAGTAACATAAAATGATTTCACACGAGAAAAAGGCAACCCACTGACCTCCGATTAGTGGGGGATCATGAATAATTCAAAAGATAGTTATAAAGTAGTTTCCAGACGTTTTCGCTATTAGTTCAAGCTACATTCTATTTTGGTTCAGACTATTTGGAAAACTGATTGATTGACTTTTTCGCGAAAGAAATATCTTTATATTGTAGTTCAAAATATTTATTGGTTTTCTTTATCTTAAGCAAACTACTAGTGACAAGTCATGTTTCTAAAAGAAGTCAATAAAAGCACAGCATTACAAGAGAGCAAATCTCTTGTTTTATATTTGCTTGAAAACATGTCACGTGACCACCTTGACGACGAGATAATCAAAACATAATCCACCTGTTATTCTTCTACATGTATGGCGAGAAAGATCTTTAAAAAGAGATAGTAGAGGTCTGCGTCTTTGAAGAGATGAGGAGAGAGTGATCGTGTTTCGTCTTTAAATTCCCCATTGGTTTTCATCCGAGAATGTCACACGTCGATTCTGGGTAGGTTTTTTTTTTCCATGGAGGTAGAAACTGGAAAAAAGATAATCGTAAATTGTCGGATTGTTGAAACTGCATTGCCAGCATGTATGGCGAGTCCACGCAGCTCGCATGGTAGCCCCACTACTGTGGCACGGATCACTCCCGATTTGAGTGATCCGTGACACACCTAGTGGGGCTACTCGCATCGCAGCATGGGTAGCAATACGCGCATGTGTGTCATCATGGTCATGTCCAGAAGTTCTGGACTGAAAAATGTAACTGAATCTCTGACTGCTGAAACGTGCGTTGTAATTTATGTACATGTTATGTGACCGGTTTTCAACGATGTAGGGCATCGGTTTCATTCATTGGCATATTTCACCAAAATTTCTCAACAGTTTACCTGCTACGAATAGGCCGTTTCCAATCAATATACTCACACATTCTGTATAAAACGAAAACCGATTGGCTGCATTCATGTACATGTAATCATGGTAATGATCAAGTGCAGATTATACACGTACATGTATGTGTACATGTGCATCAGACCCGCCAACCATTGACAACATGCTGTACTCCTTCCTGAGGTCAGGCATTACCGCGCAATAGATTAGTCATTTAAATGATCTGAAGGCTCATTGAAATACCTTTTAATCTATTGTGTGGTAATGCCTGACCTCAGGAAGGAGTACGGCAAGGTTGGCAGGTCAGGTGTATGTACCTTAATACCACCGTTTGAATTTATTTACATGTAGGTCACCCAAAAGGAACAGATTGTGAGAATATTTGTGGCAATCACATTCTTACTCAGATGTCAATTTCTTTCTGACACTATATTATTCAGTGTAGTGCATTTACACACACAAATCGTGTCTGTACATGCACATACATGTATACATGTACAATGTACACTATGTACATGCATGTACATGTACAATGTACATGTAGAATTAAGCTCCATCCTGCACACAGCTGCTGTTACTCAGGATGGTAGCCTTGCCTCAAGCAGTTTGTTAATTTTTCAGTATTGATTGTCACAATTCCACTTATTTTTGATTGAAGGTACAAGATGCTTGCAAACATGCATAGATCTGCCCCTGCCATGCATATGTCCTTTTGAATATGGCATGCAATTTGTGAGTCGGACATGTCAGCCTATAGACTTGCAACACCCACCATATACATATATGTCTTGATACATGTACATGTATATTGCATACATGTAAATATTTAGCATCTACGTGTACATGTACATGTAGTTACAGAACTGTTTGTGTAAATCGGTTACTGAAGAATAGTGGAATTTGAGGGCATCACATGGTGTCTTTTAACCATAGTTTAAACTTTGACATGTACATCAGTCTGTATAATGATTTTAAGAAATTAATAAATGCCTACATGTATCTCTAATGTGGTGGTTGCGATGTGCAGTACATGTATGCTCCATGGTCTGGTTGTCTGTCTCAGTATGTCTGTCTGGGCAAATCTGTTAGTCTTTTGGTTTGTCTATTATCCCTTCATCCATCTGTTGCAATCTGTCTTTTGGTCAGTCAGTATTTTGTAAGTTTAGAACACGTTTTCTAATTTCCAAGAATGATTCATTAATTCAGATTACATGAACCCGCCACATGTGTATTGAAATCAGTTGCGGTGATACATGTATTTTAAATTTTCATGTCAAATAACAAAGGTAATGCAGACACATCAGGGACACGAAAATGTCACACTTTTGGACCCCTGTATCTGGAATTACCCTTATTTACATGTACAGGCATATGGCAAATGTTGGCATTTTTCAAACCCAGTTGGACCATGGAGGAAGGAGGGGTTTACCGGTACATGTATTTAATTGTTGGCTATTGAAACTTTTCATTTAACATAAGTGAATTCTACCCTAATCTGAGTACCAATAAATATTACTTACATGTACATGTACATGTATGCCATGGAGCTTTCCAGTATGTACATTAGTACTTATGTACATGTAAATACATGTACATAAATACATGGAAATACATGTACATGTATTTCCAGTTCATCCCACTCAGTGTGCTTGTACATGTATACTTGTACATGTATGTACATGTACATTTGTACTGTATGTACCAGTACATGTACGTACATGTGTACATACATACATGTACATGTAGCTGTTTCTAGCAAACGTGACAGCTTCTTTTACTTGTATGTACATGTACATGTATGTAAAAAACTGCATTCACAGTAATTTTTATAAAGTTGGCACAAACTTATACCTCATGATATTGGCTTTAATGCCTGCATGATGCAGAAGCAAAATTTTGCGGTGATGAAATCATACATGTATACATGTACATGTACTTTTATGAGGCCTCCTGTAATGATGTGCCCTCTCAGACCTGTGAGGGTTTTGCCACAGTGTATAACGGATGTACATGTATACATGTATCTTGCAATGCACACAATCCATCTTAAATACATGTACATGTACACTCCTTTTACATACAATGTACTGTACATGTATTTCTCTGTCTGATTGTAGGAAAAATTGAGGGATCAGTACCTATGCGTGTATATATGTACAAGTAGGGAATCAATTTTTGGTTAGGGACGGGTTTCATTTCATTTTCCTCTAATATTTCTTTAAAATATGATACCAACACATGTACAGTATGTACCTTTACATGTTAAAACCTTTGCAGAAACTTGAACCTCATCTTCACGTGGTCAAAATGTCAGTCTGGGAAAATTATTCTTTTGTAATGGCCTTTAATGGAACTCCTACAGTGACCCAAATTAAGTGAAGCTTCTAAAGTGTCTGATGTGGCAGGATTTAAATACTGTTGTTATGTACTGTTGAGACCATTGATTGTCTAATGTTACTGAAGTCACTCGAGAAACTTCTCTGGGAATTTCTGGTCAGAGACAATGTCGTTTCAGCTTGGAATACACACAGTCCATGTCTTAGCTTTTTATAGTTGACCAGTTCTTGAACTATGACCAATGATGACTCTGAATGGGCAAACCACACAGCCTTTGGAAATCACTGTCAGATTCTAACAAGACCCTTACACTTGGTTGCAGACCCCTAAATTGATGTTATTTCCTTTGTTTCTCTGAACAGCCCATTGGCCACTTACAATAGCCTCCAGGACAAGCACCTGGTTGGCTACTTCAACAACACACGCATGCGCCGACACCTGCGGCGGTCCGGCCTCATCACACGCAATGGAGAAATTGTCACGGAGAACACCTTCCGCCTGAACATGGCAAGGAAGGAACACCAGAAGCATGTACGGGATTTGATGGCGCAGGCTATTGTGCACAAAGCGCTAGACATGGAACGCAGTCGGCAGGCAGAAATCAAACGGAAACTGGAGGAGATTGCTAAGGTGGAGCTTGTCCAGAGGGTCAAGGTACGTCTATGTACAGTAGCTCCTTTTGAATATTGAAGGGCAGTGATGACCTGGGATTGCCAAAAGCCCTGTGTGCATCATGAAGACAAAATAATTCTTAAAAACTTATAAACTAACAAAGAAGTAAGCTCGTGTATGTGGTCACATTGTGGTAGCATTTCATATGATGGTAGTTTACTACATGTACAATGTAATAATGCAATAAATGAGGCATGTACATGTACACTTGCTCAAAACCGCCATGTCAAGAGGGGCACATCAGACCCGCCCGCCACAAGCCCTCTTCCAGAAGAATGAAGGTACCCACTAAATACATGTACATGTATGATTCCAGGCATTTTTAGTCAATATACATGTACATGTATGATTCCAGGCATTTTTAGTCAATATACATGTACATGTAGATATACAATGTATTTTGTTTCTTTGTACCCATATAAGTTGGCATATACTCCTGTTTGACTTTTTCAGAGTTCCAGAGGGCGAAAAGGTGACGAGGACATCACTCCATACCTGTCACCACGAGCCCCTTCAGGACGTCCAAAGTCTGCCAAGCAAGAGCGACCTCGATCGGTGGTAACTGGTCACCGCCCATCCACAGCCCCGTCCAAACGCTCAGGATCAGCTAAGAAAAAGGTGCAGATTTCACCAGTGTTCTGAGTCTCTTTGGTTTTGTTCACTTTGTAAGCAGCTTTTGGGCTCTAATAAGCTAAATGTTCATGTATGTACAGGGTTTCTTTCTGTGTGTTCATCTTGAATGTTGTATACCAACTGGTGTAAAATATTTTAATGTTCTCTCTTAGAAACTAGTAACCTACTACATGTACATGTACGTACATGTAGCCAGGTTATTTAGACACCACTTGAATGGCAGAGCAGTAGTTAAACGTAAATCCAAATTTTGTCATTTTGTCAGAGTGCAATATATGTTGACAAGGAAGGTTTCCCTATTCATCGGGACCAGGCCTGGGGGAGCTCAGATGACGGCACTGATGAAGTGGACTCTCACAATCTCCGGGAGGTAAAAGAGAGACTATAGACTGTGCCCAATATTATGGCTGTGACTTAAAATACCACACATGCCTATGTATGCCACTGGCTTGCTGGCTGCAGCCACATCACATAGACACATGTATTACTCTGAGCCATTGTCAGTTGGTTTGGACATGACCTAGCTTTAAATCATCTGAAAAGAAACTTTGCATATCGTTCAGTGTGAGAAGGCTTTTATTTAAGAGATTTTTTATATTTGGAACCTCATAAAGTTGATATTCTGAGAGGCAAATTAAAAATGCAACAACAAATTCTTACTTGTCCAAGCTACGTGTAATCGTAGTGTTTGTGTCTATCCAATTCCTAAGTGTGATGTCCCTTCAATTTGAACCATGTTCACTGTACACAGAGTTACGTGGAATCTTGGAACTGAAAGTTAATGCACAAATTGAATATCTGTCCAATGAGAGTTGTAATCAGTGGTGCGTGCTTGTGTATGACAAAATCACTTACAAACTGGATGGTTGGATTTTCTAATTTGTGCCCATTTGCTTCTAATTTGGTCATCCCTACCGAGGCAAATTACATTCATGTCAAAATATAAGAATCGTTCAAATTTTAACAACCTTTGTTACCTTTTAGAAATTCATTTGTTGCCAAAAGCTTTGACATTAAGCAGTGGACAATTCTTGTCACTTTAAAATGATGGCTCCATTACACCTGACTGTTATTTCATTTTAGCTTGATCCCTACGCTCTAAATGACATCACTGTCAACATGACACCCGAGGAGAAGCAAAGCAACTCACCTTACAAGATTGACCTGACGCGTGATCCCAGACCCCCTCCCCGTACCCCTCAAGGATTCAAAAAGAGCCCAAGGGGGACAACAAGGGGTGTGATTACGAGAGATGGACGAAGACTTCGACCAAAGTCTAACAAGGTATGGTGACGGCGAACCTTGCATCAGCGTGTATCTTGGAGTATTTCAATACATGCAAAAAATGATGCTCTGGCAAGTTGTTTTGTGTGAGTCAGAACCTGTTGGCATTGTATCTTGTAAGTTTGCTTCAAAAGAATTGCTGGACTGTCTTCAGACTAGACAACTCATAGACTAGTTATTTTCTTATGTTTGCTGGAATTAATTTATTAATTCATTGTTCTTCAGGGTTCGCTGTCTTTGCATCGGAAGGAGCCGGCCTATCCGCATCCCACCCAGCAACAGACCTTGTGCGATGTCACTATCCGTTACCGCGGAAACAACCTGAAGCTGCAGTACGAACGGCAGGACAAACGTGACGAGATCATCATCAATCAACAACACTGTGGCGGGGAGAACCTGGTGGTGTTCCATGGACTAGTCGAACCAGGAAGTAAGCTTCTTTTTTTAAGTGCTGCTCCATAACAGGATGAAACTTGCAGAGCTTCACAGGATGCATTATTATGAAACAAGTGGTGCCTTAATTATGGCCTGCTTATAGAGTTTGTTCTGCTGTGGTCACCACACTCCAAGTTAAACAGTAAGCATTGTAAGAGGGGACAA